AAAGTATAGAAGTCACAAACCCTGTTAAGTCCTTCTCATTAAACTTCTGGGCTTTATTTATTTTTAATATCACCATTACATATTACACAAAAATAAAAGTCAAATGAACTTGGTATTTATAAATTATTAAATAAAAATACAGGAATATATATTTATATTTATAGAGCTTTTTCTTTTCTTCTAAACTAACCAAATCTGTTCTCCTGCCGTTTTATGATTTAAAAAATTAAAATAGTGTATGTATGCCCTAGAATAAGTGGGGAGTACGATTAATAATTGCAGGACCGAGTTGCCCTACTTCTGCTCCTTCCTTGGCCTAAGCAAAGTCCCTATTTATCCCTTTGGGCTCCAGAAAGCAAGAAACACTCTCTCTACCTATTTACTCTTTGAAAGTGGAATTACACTTATTTCCCTCATTTAAAAAAAAAACAGATTTAAAACTTGGGAGCCATACTCAGCCTTCCTGGCCAAGAGCTAATCCCAAGGAACTATATGGCTCTAGAAGACAGTCCCTAGTTTTCCCTGACAGAAGTCTCTGGGGTTTACATTGCCCCTCAAATTAAGAAGGGTAGGCAGGTTAACACTGCCCACTGTGATCCCATCCAAGCTATGCTTCTGGGAAACCAGACCAAACCCTTGATCCTTTCAGAAAACAAACTCTTCTTCTACCCCAGTGTAAAGGCCTCATGCAGGGCATTTTAATCCCATCACCTGACCATAGTCCCTGCTAACCATTTGCTGAAGGTCACCAGGAATGCTAACATGGATAGGCATCCTGTGGTAGAGGATGAGGTGAAATCTGCCCCAAACCTGGGAGAGCACAGGCTCCAATTGGAAGTGATGGTCTGATAAGTGGTTTTCCAACTTTGTTTTCAGCAGCAAACCCCTTAATGCAAATGAAATCTTACCCTGAACCCCGATATATAAAACAGCGATATGGGGAGCTGTTCTGTTTGAGGGCAAGTTCAGAGCTTGCTCAGCTCCCCACCCCTTTCGTCGTCTCCCCAAGGACTCCTGAGGCAACCCCTAGGACACTTTGGGGTTCTGCCAAGCAGCTTGAAAACCACTGGCCTAGCTTGTCCTGAGCAAGTCAGAGACCCCACCCCACCCCACTGCTTGCCGCAGACTGGCTCTGAGTTTCTGCTATCAGCAAACTCACTCACCCAGTGGCACATGCAGCTACCACTTCCCCTGTGAATACCATTAGAAAGTGCAGCCCTCTTTCAAAAGCAAAGGTCTGGACTAAAACACCTGAGGCCAATTTGGTCCCACATTCTAGCTTAGTTGCTGTGTGGCCACATTCTGGGACCAAGTGAAAATCTCCAGGAAGTGTCAACTGTGGTCAAGCTACACTGACTGTTGCTTAGAATTGCAGGCAGGGTTCTAGAGCACTGTGAGTGAAATCAGCATTGGAGAGCAGCAATTTGAGCACCTTGAAAAGTGCAGCAGTGAGTCTGGCTCAGGGCATGCATTTGGAGTGAATCATTTCTTCTTCAAGAGAAAAAGCTATAGTCTGAATTTGTTCTAGAGGACAGTGAGTTCTAAAGTTAGCATTCTCAGACTCTGAGGTACACATAACCCCCATGCAAACAGCGTGGCTTCTAATGAAACAGAAATGCTTCTAGGTCATGGCAGGTACTCTAGAACCCATACACCTGGCCCCTCATTAAGCAGCATGGAAGCCCACCGCACAGAATAGGCCAGTTATGGAGTACCTGTCACCCTCACACCCATGGGGCTCGGAGCTGAATGGTCCTCTCAAGACATCAACAGTCTCACTAAGACACAGTACAGAACCCAGACTGTATTCTAGGTCAGCGTTTGTCTACATCCTCAAAAGGAAAATTAGAGCCCCAATTTAGAGTTTAAGTTTGGGTAAACAGGTCCCAGAGATCGGAAACACTTTAGGCACCATCATGCCCCAGTCGGAGGGGAGGGTGGCAAGCAGGTGGCAACCAGCTATCAAAGCCTCCACCCGCCCGGCCTTAGCAGCCTTGCCCTTCTGTCAGAGCCCAGGAGGCAGCAGCAAGTGCGCGATGCACAAGGAAGGGGCTGATGAAGGAACAAGGCCAGCTGCAGAGCTGCTCTTCAGTCCAAAGCCCAGCCAAAGATTCTGCAGAGAAGAGCCAGCACCCTCAGTCAGGATACAGCGTTTCTCCCTCAGCCTCCAGACATCCGGAGAAGGGGAAGGGGAAGGGAACAGGGAAGAGGAAGGGGGCAAACAGGGGAAGAGGGGCAGAGAACTGTCCCTTGTTCTTGCCAGTGCAAGAGGGAATGTTTTCTCCTTGAAGAATTCAACCACCACCAGATCAAATGAACAGCCTAGCATGCACATGAGCACGCGTGCACATGCACACGCGTGTCAGACAGCCGGCAGCTATAGCCACCTCCCCTAGTCACCTGAGAACCCCAAGCTTCCAGCTCAGAGGTGAGCCCTCCAGGTTCTTCACATCCCACTCATTCCACGGAGACCCAATTCCTTATGCAAGTGCACCTTCCTTGGGGTTATGACCTGTGCAGGACTTATTGGGAAGATCCCTCCCCCCCACCCCCAACACTGGAATGATCCTATCTCTTGGCCCCTTCCCCAGTGTCTCCAGCTCACTCTTCCAACTCTGCCTGGCACACTCAGCTTCCTCACCCTCCCCACCCTGCCCTGTTTCATGTCCCTCCATTCACCCCACTTCTTCTAAGGGCATTCTCTGTTCTGTTTCTATTCTCCCAGCCATACCTAGCCCCACTTGGCCTTGGACTTTTTCACTTGCTAGCAAAAAAGGCCCCTACAGTTACCAGGGCCCCCAGTGCCACGGCCCCTGTCAGCACTGTCCTCACTGATGCCCAGTTCCCCTCCCGCAGACGCCGCGCCTCCTCCAGGGCCCCGTCCCCGTATAGAGCTGTGAACTCCGCCTGTGGGAGAGAAGGGAAGTAGGAGAGAAAGGAGGAGAAAGGGATATCAGGAAAGGAAAGAGTGGAGAGAAGAGGAGAGGGAAGAGTTCCAGTTCCGTCCACTGTGAGCACTACCCCATCCCCAGCTTGTCTCTTTAAGCTCTACTGACTGTGAGCCCCTCCCCGCCCCAGTGCCAGGCCAGCTCACTTGTGCTCTCTGCTTTAAGTGAAATTCATTCTTGCCTTGGCAAAAAATTCTACTTAGAACTGGCATTCTTTGCCAAGGCTTGCCTGACCACCACCCATCACTGAGCCTCCCCACCTCCCATGCTTCGTGCTCAGGTGTGACATCTTTGGATTTATAGGCACTCCGTAGGTACTATGAGCCCATCCAGAGATTACTGCTTGGCAGCCTGGAGTGCAGAATCCAATGTGATGCTCACAATGAGGGTATCTTAGTCTGACTCCACCTAATGCAGGGGATATGGCCCCAAGCCTCCTTCCCAGCACGGCTGCCCCAGCTGCCAATTAGAGCCCCATCATCCCCCTGGAGATCAGCTTTGCAGAGGGCTGTCAGAGCAGCAATGGAGAAGCTTCTTACCCAGCCCCCACTGCTGTGGATCCAGTCGGCCAGGCGCGTCTCCAGGTAGGCCACCATCCACTCCTGCACTTGGCCCACCAGTGGTTGCATCTCTTTGTTGACACTCTCAGCACACAGGGCAGCGCCAAAGACAAAGAAGGCCACAAGACGGCCCCAGTTGGGGCCACCTTGGAAAAGTTCGTCGGAGACCTGGGTGAAGCGTTGCTGGGCTGAGCCAGGGGTCACATGCAGCTGAGCAGCCAGATCAGAGAAGGTGCGCCGGAATCGGGTCTCGAACTCATCCCCAGCTGCCCGCATGGCTTGGTGCAGCGGGTCAGCTGCTGGGCCCTCCCCAGGGCCAGCTCCACAGACATAACCCTTCTGCCTCAGCTTATAGCCTACAAAGTCAGCCACCAGAGCCCGTGTGTCTGGGGCCGAGGCTGGGGTCGCCATCCGGGCGGCTGTATGGGGTAAGGATGAGACTGGCATGAATACAGGGAGGTATGGACAGGGACCCAGTCTGGCCAACCCAAAAAGATGGTGTGGCAGGGTGGGGGTATGGGGAATGCATGCAGAGATTACTAGGCAAGGAGAGGCAAGAACCAGATATTTATGTCATGGTGTGGGTCAGGGCATGAGGAGCTGGACAATATATTTGGAATATTCCAAATTAGATTTAAAAAAATAGAATTTTATTTTTTAATATTTCAGATTCTTTTCAAAAGACCAACACCAGCACTAAGGCACTCTGATACCCCCTCCCCCACCCCAGCCCCAACAGTGAACACCTTTTTGGCTAAAGGACCGGGCTTAAGACCTCCCCAGAAGAAAGAAGTGACCACGACAAGGGGATGAGGCTGAAAAGGAGGATGGGAGAAGGTATGGGCTGCCCAGGACAGAATAATGAAGGGGACACTCACCCAGCCTGGATGGCAGCTCTTAGGACCCAGTGCTGGTGGCAAGGAGCCCCCAGCTGGGGCCTTTCATCCTCCCGGCCAGCTTGGAGTCCTGGAAAGGGGAGAGAGCGATCAGAGCTGAGAAGGGAAGGCCAGGGATCAGAAGCTAGCCTGAGAAGCACAGGGTTTGCAGCTCCTGGGACCTGGCCCCTGCCCCCAACGCTCTACCAGCTGTGTGGCCGAATCCATGTTTAATGACTGTCCTCCCGGGAATCCCTGGGCCAAGGGCTTCCCGCCGACACCATCCTATTTTCGGCTTCCCCTAAAAGGAGCCCAAAGGCCCAGCTCCTCCTTTACCCCCACGTCTCCAACCCCGCCCGCCAGCCAGGTTAGAGATCTCACGGGTCAGGCCGCTGCCGGGATCCGGGCCGTTTCCTGGTGCAGGAGCTGGGAGGGAGGGAGGAAGGGAAGAAGGGAGGGAGGGAAGGAGGGAGGAGAAGCGGGGGCAGGAGGGAGGGCCCGGCGCCGGGTGATGATGGGGCCCAGAGATGCGTCCAGGGAGAGGGGCGGGGCTGCAACGCAGGCCCGGGAAGGGCTACAGTTTGGAGAGACGACAGCCGAAGGCGAAGAATGGCTGTGAGAACAGAGCCTCGCGGCTACCCAGGAAAATACAAGCTGCCTCCGAATGTCTCGGAGAACAGTTCAGCATTTCCGGAAGGTCTCTAATGTTCCATGCACTTGTTGAACTTTTCCGACCCTGGATTTGTTGTCTGGAAGAGTGGAGCGTTTCCCTTGAAGCTAGGGGCTGTCTTGCCCTGTGGGACTAGCAGACACTACTGGAAAACCAACTCTTCTCATTCTCTTTTCCCAAGGGTTCGTAATCCGGTGGTTTCTTCCCGGGTGGGGTCCTCAGCCGGGCATCAAGCAGCCAGGACTCACCCTGCAAGCGGCCTCTGCAGGTACTTCATGTTTTGTTTTACAATTATTTTAAACCCAAGCATGAACTCATTTTCATAATGGAAAAACAGCCACACAAAAAGAAATACATCGTAAAAATAAAAGTTCCGCCCCTCCCCGAGCCAAAATGAAGGTTAATATTTAGCCTTCCAGGTGACATGCGTGGTCTGCCCATAACTGATCACGCTGGGGGCACTCAGGCTTCGAACCAGGCCCCTTTGGGTTCTTGGACCTGGCAAGACCTGGCAATTCCTTCAGCTCCTTTGGGAACCCGCCCCAACAAAAGCTAGAATGAGGCAGCCCAATTCTTTTCCTCTACTCTGGTTCTTTTCTGTTGGTTTCCTTTGCTTCTACCTCCAATCTATGCCTTAGTACCCTTGTCTTCCCTATGGTTACTAGAAAAGCAGAATTTTTTTTTCTGTAACAATAATAGTTAACACAACTGAGAAGTCTTATTAAGTGCTAAGTACTTTTTTTTTTTTTTTTTTTTTTTTGGTCTTTTTGAGACAGGGTCTCACTATACAATTTAGATTGGCTTTAAACACACTTTGTAGTCCAGGCTGGTCTCATCTTTGCAGTGATCCTCCTGCCTCAGGCTCCCAAATGCTGGGATTACAGGAATGTGCCACCATGCCTGGCTTTTTTGTTGTTGTTAAGTGCTTTCTTTAGATGGTTTTGTTTTGGTTCTGCTGTAATTAATTATTTTGTTTTCTATTTTGGTTTTTTGAGACAGATCTCGCTATGTATGTAGTTTAAGTTGGCCTTGAATTCACTGTGTAGCCCAGGCAGGCCTCAAACTCATGGCAATCTTCCTGCCTCAGCCTCCTGAGTACTGAGATTATAGGTGTCTGCCACCATATCCAGGCATAATTAATCTTTTTCTCAGGTATAATTAATCTTAAGCAATTTTTTTGGGGGGGGTGTGAACCCAGTGCCCTCACACTGAACTATATCCTCAGCCCTTTTAAAAATTTTTTGAGGGGCTGGGGATTTAGCTCAGCGGCATAAGCACCTGCCTTGCAAGCAGGCTGTCGTGAGTTCAATCCCTGGTACCAATAAAAACCAAAAAAGACAAAAAAAAAAAATTTTGAGACAGTATCTTGCTAGCTCAATAAATTCCTCAAACTGGCCTCAGCCTTTCAGAGTACTGGGATTATGGTATGCACCACCATACTCGGTTACATTTTATTTTCACTTCAATCCTTATGCTGTTTTAGTCTTATTCTATGGATGAGGAAATTGAGGCTAAAGGAAGAGGCTGAGACTTAATCTAAATCTGTGTGACCTGAAAATTTAGTATTGACTCAGACATTGTATTGCCTCCAGAGATTGCCTCTGTCCTACTGCTAGTCAATGTTGTACTTGCAGTTGGAATGCACACCATTTACAAGTCCGTGGAATGCATACCTGATTCCATTCTTTTATGGCTGTATTCTTTCAACCATCCTGTTTCTTTCTCTTGAGCTAATCATTCCAGCTGCATAGAAGTTGCCCCCGCTTTGGAGGCAAATCTAATCTAGGCCTTTATTTGCAATCCTGGCTCCTAAGACCATTACCGGGGAGCAAACTCATGACCACGCGCTTGCAAGGCAGATGCTTATGCCACTGAGCTAAATCCCCAGCCCCTAAAACCCTTACTTGTAATAGATACTTTGTTTTAAATTTCAAGAAAATGTCTTAGGCAACCCAAATACATTTATCTGCCCCTTTACTTATGAGTTCCTTAAGAGCCAGAACTGAGATGGACTCATTTTCGTGTAGGCCAAATGGGCCCTGAGTAAATGTAGACTGAATGGATTAATCAACACCTCTAGCTAGTGATTGATTAGCCCCAGACAGATGCTTGGAGATCACTGCGGTGTCTGTTTAAGAAATACTGATTTGGTTTATTTTTGTTGTTGCTGTTGTTGTTTTTGTTCCAGGAATCAAACTTAAAACCTCATGCTTACCAGGCAAGCACTTGAGCCACCTAGCTAAATCTGTGGCCCAGAAATACTGATTTGGGTTAAAGATCTAGTAGTGTCAGCCTAAGCAGCCACAATTTCTACTCAGTCCAAAGCTATGTATCTCAAGGATCTTCTTAGAGCAACACCAATAGAACCAAAGAATAGCAGCTAAAAACCTGTAGACAAAGCAACATAGCCTTTATCAGAAAAGATGAGGCCACATAGGCTGGCCTTGAACCTCCCTATTTTATTTATTTATTGGTATCAGGGATCAAGCTCATGACCTCACACCTACCAGGCACTTGTGCCACAGAGCTAAATCCCCGGCAAACCTCCCTATTTTACTTCAGTGACACACCATTGTTCCAGTGCAAAGAAGATCCTTTTAAACTGCTTAACTGTGACATTAGTGTATGATGATTTTATCCCCTAACATATAAACAGATTAATGGATTTTGTGTATGTGAAGAAAATAAAACTCAATATGGCTTTTTTTTTTTTTTTTTTTTTTTTTGTCTTTTTTGTTTTTATCGGTACCAGGGATTGAACTCACAACTGCCTGCTTGCAAGGCAGGTGCTTATGCCGCTGAGCTAAATCCCCAGCCCCACTCAATATGGCTTTTAAAATGAGTGGTTTTGGGCAACCTACTTGGATGCCTTGTCTCTCTTTCAGAAGCTTTCTTTCTCTCAATAAACATTTTCTGGGCTGGGGATTTAGCTCAGTCTTGTAAGTGCCTGCAGGATAAGCACAAGGTTGAAAGTTCATCCCCTAGGGGCTGGGGATTTAGCTCAGCAGCATAAGCGCCTTCCTTGCAAGCAGGCAGTCCTGAGTTTGATCCCTGGTACCGATAAAAAGGAAAAAGACCAAAAAAGAAAAAAAAAAAAACCAATAGATCAATAAACATTTTCTGGTCTTAACCTCCATTGTTAAAAAAAAAAAAAATGAGTGGTTTTTAAAAAAGTGGTTTGCTATGGTTGATACTGTGTGAAAATGCTAATACAAATGAATTGTACAAGATACTATGTGTTTCACTGTTTTCAATTGTCACTTGTGAGCTTTTCAACTAAACTATCCAGTTCTAAATTTAGACTTCATTTCTATTCTAATATTTCCCATTTTACTACTCTGAAGATATCAACATTATCTTTTTTTTTTTTTGTCTTTTTGAGACAGGGTCTCTTTATGCAGTTCAGGCTGGCCTTGAGCTGGCTTGGTAGCCTAGGCTGGTCTCGAACTCAAAATGAACCTCCTGCCTCAGCCCCCTGAGTGCTGGGGTTACAGACGTGAGCCACCATGCCTGGCTTCAACACTATCATTAAAATTTTAATCTTATACTGTATATTTGAATAGGTAAGCGTGGACTGTGAGTTGGATTGCTGAGGTCCTAATCTCAGCTCCCTGTTATTAACTATGTGACTCTGAACAAGAGTCCTACCTCCACTTTTCCCTCAGTATTCCTATAACTGTATTTTGTGTGTGAATAATTTTAGAAGTCTTACGGCAGTACCTAGCACATTGTAAGTGCTATTTTTAAGATCAGAAGGAAAATTATTATTATTATTTTTTTTTTTTTTTGGTACTGGGGATTGAACTCACGTCACAACCTGGCACTTGCCAGGGAGGCGCTTATGCCACTGAGCTAAATCCACGGCCCGCTCATTCATTATTTTGATGACCTAACCTGTGGTAAAACTGACCAAACACAGCCCCTGTCCCTCAGTGTTTACAGTTGGATTAGAAATCAGAGGAGACAACTAAGGCCAGCGAAGTTGTGCTTTGCTCCAGGGCACACAGCTAACCACCAGGCCTGGCTAGGGCTAATCAGTTCTGGGCTCTTTCCAGTGAGCAGTTTCCAGGTTTCTTGAGTGCTACAACTCACCTATTTGACTCCACTAGCTCTCAGAACATTTCTGGCTTTGCCACCCTCCTTTTAAACTTGGAACCTAGGCTTTTGGAAATAGTAAATCCTTAAGACAAAGTCACACATTGGGAGTTTTGAATCTTCAAGAAAAGTAACAGTCTTTTCCATCCTGTGTTAACTCTCTCCGTGCCAGAAAGTTAAAGGACGTTAAAAGTAAAAAGGCTGGGTGGCCTCACTTGGGACCAAAAGGATGGAGTCCCCGCCCCCTGGTGCAGCAGCGGAGACGGATCAGAAGCCACCTCTCAGAGGGCTGTGGGCGGGGGCGAAGCAGCTAGGCCCGCAGAACCAGCTGGAAGCTGGTGCCCGGAGTTGGCAGCTCCGAAACCACTCCAGGAAGCATGGGATAGTGTAAGACTGGCACCTGACGGCCAAGGAGAGGGATGGGTAGTCACGGAGACGAGGCCGAGCAACGGAAGGTGGAGGATCCTTGAGGTGACAGCAAGGGTGGAGGATCCTGGAGGTGACAGCAAGGGGAGTACGCAGCGGCCAGAGACTGCTGCAGGGCGGGCCCGGAGACTTTGGTGCAGACGCAGGACCCAGGGTGAGCGGGAGCGAGAAAGGGCAGGCCGCATCGAGACCGAAGGTGCCATGTCCCACGAGCGGCCGCCCCACACTGACATCCCCCGCAACCTGAGCTTTATAGCTGCGCTGACTGAGCGCGCCTACTACCGCAGCCAGCGGCCCAGCCTCGAGGAGGAGCAGGAGGAGGAGCCAGGCGAGGGCGGGACGCGGCTCGGGGCCCGGTCCCGCGCTCATGCTCCGAGTCGGGGCCGCCGGGCCCGCTCTGCGCCCGCAGGAGGCGGTGGCGACAGGGCACCCCACAGCCGTAGCCCCGACACCCGAAAGAGAGTGCGTTTCGCCGACGCGCTGGGGCTAGAGCTGGCCGCCGTGCGCCGCTTCCGCCCGGGAGAGCTGCCCCGGGTGCCCCGCCACGTGCAGGTGCAGCTGCAGAGGGACGCCCTCCGCCACTTTGTACCGTGCCAGCCACGCGCCCGCAGCCTCCAGGTAGGGACCACCCGTCGGTCCCCAAGCCTGAGCTTGCACCTGCCCACCCGTGTCGGGTTCCTTTGCGTGATACTGCCGCTAGGCCCTCAAGCTGCGCCTCACTTGGCAGGCCCGGCGCCACTGGCCTCTGATTGGCCAGGGCCTCACGTTGACCCCGCCCCTTGTCTCTCTCCCCGCCCCTGGCTCCCTTCTCGCTCCTCTTTCCCCAGGAGGCGCGCGGCGCCCTGGAGCCAGCCAGCGAGCCGGGTTTCACCGCCCGCTTGCAGGCTCAGCGCATCTGCCTGGAACGCGCCGAGGCGGGCCCGCTGGGCGTAACCGGGAGCGCGCGCGTGCTGGACCTGGCTTACGAGAAGCGCGTGACCGTGCGCTGGAGCGCAGACGGCTGGCGGAACCAGCGCGAGGCGCCCGCCGCCTACGCCGGCCCGGCTCCGCCTCCGCCGCGCGCAGACCGCTTCGCCTTCCGCCTGCCGGCGCCGCCTATCGGGGGCGCCCTCCTCTTCGCCCTGCGCTACCGCGTGACGGGTCACGAGTTCTGGGACAACAACGGCGGCCGTGACTATGCTCTACGTGGCCCGGAGCACCCGGGCAGTGGAGGAGCTCCGGAGCTCCAGGGCTGGATCCACTTTATTTGAGACGAGGCAGCTGCAACCCACCCCTGGGGGAAAGTACTCGAGGCACCCGGAGGCAGGGGGAAGCCCTTGTGGCGGAAGGAAGGGAGAAAGCGAGACTGGCGCGCAGCTGTTTTGGAGTCTAGCGAGGGAGGGTGAGGCGGATGTGGGGCATCTCCGGAGCTGGGGCTGGGGCTGGGGGTGGAGCACCCGGGTTAGTTGTGAGTGGAGAGAATCCGACGCAGAGAAAAAGGGGAGACCGCAAGGGGCGCTGGAGGGATTGGAGGACTGCGGAGAGGAGATGATGGTGCCTTCTTCAGAAAGTTGGCCTCGCAGGAATAGTCAAAGGTTAAGGGACCTCTTTGGGTTGAGGAACATTAAGGACTGGGGAGGTTTGCTATGTATACCCCTCCCCAGTTGAAGTCCTTTAAGCTGCTGGTTGCTTCCCCTTTTACCGGCCACTTCAGGTCCCTCAGCCCCAGCCATCCGAGCTTTATCTGAACCATCATTGCCTCGCTTACTCCCAGAACTTGGTCATTGCTCCCAGGACATTATGTATGACAGGATTGCCGGTCACCTGACAGTTTCGGATTTCAGTCATGATGTATTTGATGGGGAGTGATGATAGGTAGTAGAGCTTCCTCCAGCCGCCAGGCAGTGTGATAGGGATTATAATGAAGGCAAAAGCAGCTGTAGGTCCGTCCTTGTGGCCAAACTGTGGGACACCAGAGGGGTTGATACACTCAGGGGCTTCCAGAAAAAAGTACCAGCTTTACTTTTCTGGGTGCCTTCTAATAATCTTTAAGCACTTTATGGATTGTGTTTGTTAAGGGACCGTGAACGCAACAATAAATTGAGATTTATGCCTTCTACCTAAGAAAAAAAGGAAGTCTGCCTAATTTTGTGACTTAGAGCAAATTACTTGAGTTCTTTGGGCCCTAGTTTCCTGCGTGGGGAAACTGGATTTGTGTTAGGTGATCGCTTAAGGCTGCATTTTCGATATTTATGATCTGTGCAGAGCACCATGTAGGTTAGAATCTCTGATCTCACGCTGCATTGGTACATAGAGCCCTGAATTTGTGATGGGGCTTAGGATGGGCCCTCTAGCTTTTGGCACAGGTATTCCAGAACCGAGGAAGTGTCCCACAGACAGTCTGCAATCTCAGGGTATTCCAGAGCCTTTCCCAATTCACGGCTCATCCTCTGCCCCTTGTTTTTTGCTGTTGCCTCCATAAACTTCAAGGCTGAGGGCTTTAAGACATCTTTAGGGAAAATGATGCTTGGTAGCACCAGAATGAAACAATGTGGGCATCTCTTGAGGATAAAAGGTTATAGGTAAAATGAATGAAAAACATCAAGCGTGAGAGCAGCTTGAAATTTAAATGGTATCAGAACATGGCAGTTTGATCCATGTTCTGAGCAAGTGAAATTGAAGAAGTTGGACTCTCATTTATGTTCATGCTTGCAGTCTCTCCTGTTGGTTACTTTTAATATGAAAGTCATTTCTTTGCTGGTTGCTTGTTTTTCCTTTCCTCTTGCCCTATACCTAACCTCTTTTCTTTGCTTCATTGTTCCTCTTCCTTCTCATCACTTTTTCGTTGAACATGTAGGGTATTTATCTTTATTTCCTCTTTTCTCTCTTCATCCTTGTTTTCTGCTCTTTCTTCTCCCTCCTTTTCCTCAAAACCACGGGTGATCTACCTCCCTTCCTCAGGCTCCTTGCTACTCTTCCAAAGCGGGGAAGGGGATGAGCAGCTGTTCCTGGCATTACAGATAACAAGGGGCTCACAGGTAATCAGCTTTCCATACCTTTTTTTTTTTTTTTTAACTTTTTTATATTACTGAATTCTCAAAAGATTTCTTTTTTCTCTTACTGAATTCTCAGAAGATTGTCTCCTTTGTCATCAAGTGATGTGTCCTCACTTGCATTTAGAATGGATAGGGCTTGTTACCATGCCCTTTCTGTCCACAGCCTTAGAAGAAAGCCAAAAGGACTTTGGGTGACTCCAAAAAGAAATTTAAAGCATTATGCTTAGCTTGGCATGGCGGTTCATACCTATAATCAGCTTTCTGGGAGGCTGAAACAGGAAGATTGCAAGTGTAGCCTGGGCAACTAGGTGACTTAGTGAGACCCTGTCTCAAGAAGAAATGAAAGGGTTTGGAGATGTGGCTCAGGATGAAGGCCCAGGGTTTAATTTGTAGTACCAGAAAAGAAAAAAGTCATCATAATAAAAACAAAGAATTTCATGTATCTTGTAGATCAGCTTTAGGTCTGAGTTCCAACAGAGTGAAAAGAAACTACTGGAGGCTCCTGGGCATTGCACTTATTTAGGCATTGACAAGAAACCCAGGAAGTCTGGGTCAAGGTTCAGTATGTAATAATGTCTTGCCTAGTATGTTATTGTTAGGACATATGAATAATAGAAATAGCTCACATTTACTAATATATATCTGCTAAAATTGTTTAACATGTATGCTCCAAACAACCTTACGAGTTAAGCATTATCATTATTCCTATTTTAGACATAAGTCCCAGAGAAGCTCAGTAATTTGTTCAAGATCACATGGCAGACCCATATAACCTATATAACCCAGCAATTCCCAGAGCCAATGTGATAGGCCATGGTTGTTTTGTACTGTTTTGAAACAAAATGAGGGATGGTGGTACACACTTGTAATCCTAGCAGCCTGGGAGGCTGAGGCAAGTGGATTGCAAGTTCAAACCCAGCCTGGGCAGTTTAGTGACTTAGCAAGACCTTAGCACAAAAAAAAAAAAAAAAAAAAAAACTGATTGAGGATGTAGCTCCATATGAATGCCATGGGTTCAGTCTGTAAGGCCACAAGGAAAAAAATTCAAACCTTGCTATATATCATCTTTTTGTACTCTACCTTCCCAGCCTCCTGAACTGGCTTGGAGAGGGAAAAGCACAGGTCCTAGGCTTCCTCTGTTCTGCCACGGACCTGCTGCTGCCTTGCTTCTGTGCCTGTCCCAGCTCCACAAGATCAGCAAGGGATCACCCCACCTACCTGCAAGAAAATGGGAACCTATTTAAACTCCAGCTTTGTATACCGTGGAATTCTCTCCTGGCTTTTGCCAGCCCTCCATATAGGTTGGATTGCTGTACCACTCTCCCTCCCCACCAACCGGGGGGAATGGGCAGATTCCTTGATGCTTCCACTAGAAAAGCCCCTGGCTAGAACAGCCTAATACTGTGGGTGAGTAAATACAAAATTACATTTGGGAGAGGGAACCAATAATAATAATAATACTGTTCCCTGAGCCTGAGCTCGAAGCAGTTTTAGAGGGTAACATGAGTCTATAGAAAAACACAGGTCTGGTTCTTTCCATGTGCTGCCCTAAAGTAAGCTGACAGTTTCCCCCATTCTTATCCCAGTCCTGAGCCTGGACTGAACCACTTTCTTGCACACAAATAATGGATGTCTATCTCTTTGATCCTGAACTTACACAACTACCAGTGCCACCAAGCCTTGTAAAATAGGGAAGAAACTAGTAACTTCTTGAGTGGCTTTTGTGTGCCTAGTCCTTTGGAGATTCTCTGAAGATATTCCCTGCCCAGCTGCCTTTGATGTGCACTCCTCCAGGATTTGAGCATTGAGCTCTTCCTACCCTGAATTTTCCCTCACCCTCTGCTGAGCTGGTGTAGCATTATCATGTATCTTACCATCTGCAAATCTAGTGCCATGGGGTAGTACTTTTCTTTCATTCCTGTCTTTACTCTTTCCAAAACCCCCACTAAATAAAAAGTGCTACACCCTGACAGATGAGAGTGCTGGCTTTTTCCAGCTGATTCTGTCCAACCTGATATGCAACTACTAGGAATTTGGCTGAAGGTTGAGAGACCCAATTAGGTATTATGTCTTAGGCATTGTAGTGGAGAGGTCTTCTAACGGCTGAGGAATAGGAGCAGTTTGGGGTATAATATAGCAGCTGTGGATTGGGAAGAGCTGTAAGAGAGGTCAGGGTGTTGACCCGTGAGCCAGTCCAACAGGCACACAGCTAGTTCCCCTAATCCAGACCTGAAGTCTTCCTGCACCTCCCTTCCCATAGTCTTTCTTCCATTGCTTTGTCTTTATATACGTAGCTCATGTCATAGCAAGCCCTAGCCCCTGAACTTCCCAGTCTAACTCTCACAAGTGTTTCTTTGCAGCTCTTCTGGGTCCTTGCCACTCACACTGATCATAGAATCAGACATGAAAGGCTTAAGAGAGCATTGAGATCAGGATCTTTTACAGAGAACAGGTTCAGAGATGAGAAAGAACTGCAGCAGGGTCAGATCATTTGTTAGTGCAGCTCGATTGGGTTTAAGCTCATGCCCCCTGAGGACATCCTGTTACCAGTCTGAGAAACATTTCACACATTCAGAACCATGGTCTTTCATGGGAAGGACTACATCCAAAAAAAAAAAATTTTTTTTTTGTTATGATTTCTACCCACTTTGTCTTCCAGGCATAAAGAGGAACAATGATAGTTTTCCCTGTACCCAGCCTTTGGATTTCTTTTGATACTGCTGCTAAACATTACTGACCTTATAAAGACTGAATAGTCCACCTCTTGAACAGGTAACCCAGCTTGGAAATGAAAGTTTGTTACATGAAGCCCCCCAAAACCACTGTTCTTGCCAGGCCCTCCCAGAGCCTCCCCAACCCTTCCCAGCAGCTCTGGGCCCCAAGCCTGCTAATCTTGTGCCTCATTTCCAGATTCTTCATGCAGCTGTCCTCCCTTATGAGTACAAAACCTCATGTTTGAAATAAAGTTGAAATATGAAAATACAAGGCATTCAGAAGTAGTCTTTGTTTTGGGCCAAAAGTTACAAAATACCCAGAGCAAGATTGCTTCTCTGAGTCCTTTCCGCAGTTCTTGGTCTTTCTATTTCATAAAAGTCCTATTCCTTCGGGACATAATAGCATGCACCTATAATTCTAGCACTCTAAGGCACCAAGGTAAAAAGATCGTAAATTCAAACCCAGCCTGGGCAATTTAGCAAGGCCTTGTCTCAAAAATTTCTGGGGCTATGGTTCAGTGCAAAGGCCAGAGTTCAACCCCCAATCCTGCATGGGTTGTATTCCCTTTCTGCTGGAGTCCTCTGGCTATGCAAAAGTTGCATGGGAAGGCGATACAGAGGAATTAGATAGCCCTGGTACAAGGAACCGTGGCAGGATCTTAATGCTCTGGGGGAGTGGCCTGCTCTGGAGTTCCTGGCACCCACCATTAGCTGCTGGTGCAGTGAAAGGGAGCTGTTTAAGTAAAGCTCTGTTTCCTTTTAGGCTGACTCCTTCCTTAGTAGACCATTTGAATTACACTTTGCTCCTTAACCACTGTAGAAGCAAAGTCTTTTGCTTATCACTGGCAACACAAGCAAAGGATGAGAAATATGATGAAGAAAAAAAGCAAGTATCTCTTTCTAAGCCAGGATGGAGCAATGGGAATAAAGGAAGTTCTTGAAAACATCTAGTGCTAATGGGATTGACTCCTATATCACTGGATGACAAAAAAATCAAATCACACTGTAATGAGACCTTCCTTTGAGGGAGCCCTAGGGGTAGCATAATCAGATGTGTCCTTGTTACATCATAAAGGCCAAGTTGTGAAGTCACTGGAGAACACTCACCCTTCAGTGAGTGTTATAGGTGGGGCCAGCTATGCTGAAGAGCGGATTCAGCATGAGGAGCAGACACCCAAGGAGAGGTAAGTGGGGGCTCTATCCCTGACCGGTCCAGATTTTTTACATCCTAGTTTGGTGTTAGGTTTGTCTGCACTCATTCTTTCACAGATACTGTGAGTGCAGCATTTGCTATCCCAAACCCACTCCAGATTCTCAATACTTCAAGTCTTAATTCACCAGCTCTCCAGCTCCCTCCAGCTCTGATATTTCTTAGAAGAGAAGGCACAGAATGCTGGACCAAGGTTTTCCTAAACGGGACAAAATAACCATATCCATCTAGTCCTAAAAGTAAATACAGGTTTTGGGGTGCCTAGATATACAACGTTTGGGACCTCTTTTTAAGAAAATATAAGCATAAAATTGGGCACAAATGTGATTAATTTTAAGATTAAAAAAATAGGAGTTTTTAAAAGCCGATGAGAAGTTATCCACCTGGCAAACTTATACAATTTTCTATTTTTTGATGCTCATTAACAGATCTTTTCATAGTCATATGATTCTGTATATGGCTAGATTCTATATTTATCCACTGAACACAGAGCTATATTTCCAGCTCTTTTAAAATTTTGAAACAGGCATGATGGTGCCTATCTGTAATTCTAGCACCTTAGAGGCTGAGATAGGAGGATCACTTTGAGTTTGAGACCAGCCTGGGCTATACAGCAAGTTCAAGAGCAGCTTAAATTGCACTGAGAACCTGCCTTTAAAAAAAAAAAAAAAAAAGGCTTAGGAAGCAGACTTAGGATGTCTGGTAACCCTAAAAGAGCTCTGGCTGGTGCAATGAAGAGTGAAAATGGGGTTCTGTGGTTGGTTTCTTGGAATACGTAAGAAGTGATGAGTTCTGAGAATAAGGGAGGAAGCCTGAAAACGACCTATGTAGGCAAGAGTAAGTCTTTTCAACGACTAATGTCAGGCCAAAAGGGCCAGTTCAGAAAGTATTTTTCCCAAGTTTTAATCAGAAGGTGGAGAATCCTAAATATACAATTTTTGATCCAGATCCTCATACACTGTAGGATAATACTTTAATGAAAGACAGAGAATACCAAGGTCTCCAAATATGATACAGCTCCAGGTCCTTTTCACTAGGGCAAGGAGAGAGCCAGCATTTAGTCCTTGGACACACAAGTCTGGTGAAGGCTCCGGGTTCCTAAGATTCTGGTCCTTCTGGGTGGCAAGACATCTGATCTAGCTCCAAATGAGTTCGCAGTTGCTTTAAAGGCTTCTTTACAGCTGATGCTGCTGGCAGTGGTTGGGCTCTGAGTCGGGGAAGGCGCTATTAAATAAGGCTGGGACGGGCTATTAAAAAGGTCTTCCCAGAGAGATTCCTTCATAAGGAGCCAAATGAAGAAGTTGCTGTGGTCCAGACAATTAGCTAAAGGAGAAATTTCGGAGAACGTAGGCTGGTGTACTCCGAGGCTCCGGCACCAACAGGTCGAGGGTACAGCGAGGTACCATTCACAGCATCCTAGCCCTGGTAGACATGTTTGCCTGCTCAACGCGCCCAATAGCTGACCCACGTTGAGGATCACGCAACCAATAGCTGGCTCCTGCCAAGACCCACGTAGCCAATAGCCGGCCTTGTGGGCTGCGCCAGCATCCGCCCTCTGCATCCACCAATCAGGAATCGGGCCACCTTAACACCGCCCCGGACGCCCGCCTCACCCGTCTGCCCCGCCTCCAACTCCCCGGAGCTGGGAGGGTTGGGCTAGATCCGCCCGCTCCCGGGGGCGGGAGGGCGGGGAGTGGGGGGCAGTACGCGGTCCTTGGCCGTCGTGCGGGTGGGCACGGAGCAGGCCGCACGGGGCAGTACCCCACTCCCACCTGGAGGCCCTCTGCCCTCTTTTCCCTTTCCCCCCAGTCCCTGGTGCGAGGCTGGGAGCCGCCGCCCGGGCCGGACCGCGGTGAGTGATCCCAGCCCCTGGGACTTTCCCTCCCAGCCGGTGTACGCTGTCCGACCTCCGGAGCTCCATCCCCGGCCGGCTGGGAGCGGGGGGTGGAGAATACTGTACTGGACCAGATTCGAAGTCGCCCGGTTCTCTCCCCTTTCTGCTCTGGACTTTCTGATTCCCCGTTCTAATTGGGGGAGGGCGAAGGGGTGTGTAGGGAGGAGGGGACGGCAGCGTTGGTACGCCCTTGGCTAAGGAATGGTTGAGATTCGCCTGCCTCCTGGGGCTCACCGCCCCCAAGTGTAGTAACTTTTTGTTCTTTGACCCAGTTTAGAGCCTTCTAGACTGCCGGTGAAATGGAGGATAGGAGAAACGTTTCTTCCCAGCCCTCCCCCCAATCCCCATGACTACCTCCAGGCGACCATAACACATGTACAGAACCTGACCTTACTTCTGGGGAACAGTGGGCTTTGGGAACGAAAGATTTAGAAGCAGCTGCCCCTGTGACGCCCGTGCCCAGCATAGGCTAAAGACCAGACCAGGAAACAGTTTGAATCGAATCTTCTGAGGTTCCTGGTTTGCGTCTTAATCTGAGACTTCTAAACTGAAAGAAGACTCAAGCTGAGACCTGTTTGGTAATGTTGGCCCAGATCAGGAGATCTTTCTCAACCTATATGAATTTCCTTCTCACTATATATTTGAATCCCTTTTGTCTGATTTAGAATAGGTAGACAGCAGTAATCGAAAAAGTTAAAGTTGAGAATTTTAAAAGCTAATGCATATACGTTATCTTAAAACATTGCAATTAAAAATACATTTATTTCACCGTACTTCTGGTGTAGTACTGAGACTTTTTTGTACGTGTAAGCCTGCTGAGTGAAGTTCCCAGTTGCCTTTCTAGTGTTAACTACCATGGGAGTCTCAAACCTGGCAGCACCCTGAGAATTTTTAAAACTATGGATGACTGGGCCCCAGTCCAGACTAATTAAATCAAACCAGAGAGGAGAGTGGCCTGGTTTTTAAGTTTCCCAGGTAGTTTTTAGTGTGCATTCTGAGGTGAGAATTACTCAAGCAGTTGGATCGCCTATGATTGCCAGTTTTGGTTTCTTTAAAGTGAGATTAGACACTTTCGAAGCAATCTTTAATATGCTGAATGCTTTTTTTTTTTTTTAACTTTAACGGTACCGGGGATCGAACTCACGACCGCCTGCTTGCAAGGCAGGTGCTTATGCCGCTGAGCTAAATCCCCAGCCCCCTATGCTGAATGCTTTTGAGATTTTTAAGTTTCACCCCTAATCTTATTTATTTATTTATTTATTTTTATCGGGTACCGGGGATGGAACTCACGACCGCCTGCTTGCAAGGCAGGCGCTTATGCCTCTGAGCTAAATCCCCAGCCCCCATTCACCCCTAATCTTTTACAGTTTTCCTACCTCTTCTCACTCATCACTCTTTAAATGTATATTCTCTGTTATATCCTGCCTCTCCAAAGCATTTGATTCGTTTTCATAGGAAATTTTTGTTTTTCAGAGTAGGAAAATTTATTGGAGAGGGCTTTAGCTCAGCGGCATAAGTACCTGCCTTGCAAGGCAAAAATGAAAAAGACAAAAAAAAAAAAAAAAAAAGAAAAGAAAAAGAAAGAAAAAGAAAATTTATTGGAGAAAAGCAATGGGGAGTAGGAATAGCTCCTGAGAGACAGGAAGGGGGCCGAATGGGTCCCCCTTTTTAAAAAATTTTTTAAGAAAGACAAAAGAATTTCAAGACAGGATAGTAGGATAACAGTGATTAATACATTGCGTATTGTTGTCTGTAAATTAATCAAGTTTAAGAAACAGGCATTTAATTGTCCAAACAATATTTGTACAAACCTTTCTTTTCCATAATGAACTGAGAAATTAGTATAATTATCTTTTACTGTCTTGTGTGTGTGTTTTTGTTTTCCCTTTTCTCCTTTCCCCTGTCCCAATTACTCTTTTTCACAGGTTTAGTGATGTTTAATTACATTGTTACATAGATACTGAAAAACCAGGGGTTAAGCAGTTTTGGAGTCACACAAAACTGTTCTAAGCACACAGACAACTGAATGAAGCTAGTGATTTGGGTGCACTAGAAGTAGCCTACTAACCTTTAGCTTCCAGGGCCCTGTGGTTACTGGTCATGTAGTAACCAGTAATCCAGTAGGTCAGCTAAGCCAGGCTCTTGCCCAATTGAGCACTTTTCATGCTAATTCCATCTGATACCACAAATACCTAGTTCCCTTCTTAATCGAATTCTTCCATCTCCCACTCCGTCCATTCATTTACATTAAACTGCTCTTTCATCTTTAAGTAATTACCATCACTGGCTTTATTAAGATGGAAAGACAAGGCAGAGCTCTTAATCCAACAGTCCAACCTTTATCTGACTCCCAGGTTCAGGATCCAAAAAGTTACGAAGCATATAAGTTAAATTTCTTGAAAAGTCTTTAAGGCCCTTAATACTATACCATGAAAACATTTCAGGCAATAATTCAGGTTTTCTCTTGAATAAAGATTTAGAGAATTCAGCATCATACCTGTTTTCCACTTTGTCTTTTACTTTAACCATAAAACTAGGTTCAACTAGAAAGCTCCAAAATCTTTTTCCTAGGACTATAAAACAAACTGGAAGTTTAAGACTCTTAAGTTTTGTTTTTTGACTTTTTTGGGTTTTTTTGAGACAGGGTCTCAAAATGCAGTTCAGGCTGGTCTTGAATTTGCAACGACTCACCTGCCTCAGCCTCCCGAGTGTTGGGATTACAGGAGTGCACCAACTCACCTGGTTTGACCCCCAATTCTTTACTGCCATCTGCTCAGAATAGAAAAGCCCAAGGGAGGGAAGGGCCTTACAATTTCTTTTCCTTCAGCACTCAGGGTTGAACCCAGGGCCTTAACACTGAGTGAGCTGAGACCCTAACCTTTTTTTTTTTTTTTATCGCTACGGGGGATGGAACTCAAGACCACACACTCGCAAGGCTGGTGCTTATGCCACTGAGCTAAATCCCCAGCCCGTCCCTAACCTTTTTAAAAATTCAAGATAAGATCATCTTACTACATTGCTAAACTGCCCAGGCTGGGCTCAAACTTTCCATCCTCCTGCCACACCTTCCATAATACTGGGATTACAGGTGTGCACCACTCACACCTCCCCAGCTCTGGCTCTATTTCTCATTAGTGCCTTTAGCAGGAAAGCATAGCTAGCATACTTAATAGGGATGCAAATGTAGTAATTGTTCATTATACCACCAGCTTTCCCCTAGCAGTTCTCTAAATTGATTCCCTTTCTCTACCTACTCTAAAATGAAGACACGGAGAACACATACACTGTAGAATCTAAATTGTTTTGGTTACAAGAGGGTCTTCCCTACTTGTTATAATTTTTATTTTTTTGGTACCAGGGATCAAACTCTTGACCTCACACCTGCCATGCCGGCGCTTACGCCATTAAGCTGAATCCCCAGTCCTACTTGTTATAATTTTCATAAGCCATTCTGGGTTATAGTTTTCTCCTAATTCAAACCCTTATGTTTCCAGGGAAGTATCAGCTACACAGCTAGTTGTACCTTGATTCAAGCCATTATTCTCTTTGAGAAAGTTTTCCATAACTTGTATTTTGTGTAAGTGAAAATGATATCTGATATCCCAAGAAATTTTATTTGCCTTATTACATGTTACACTGAAATGGCAAGGTGATGCTAGGAGAATTTAAAGGCTGTCAATCTATAAGCTTTTGGCTGTGTGTGCCTTGTACTTTTATGGCAGCCCTCATCCTCACACTGGACTAGACTATTTCATTCTTTATGCTACCTTTTCCTCATATCTAAAGAGTGAATTGTGTGTCCTTACAGAAAAGGACACAAAAGAGTCAAGCACTACCATCATAAAGTATTTCCCATTTTGAGATTGGTGTTCTTGGGGGCCCACAGTTTGTAAGTGATGGTGTAGCTCCAGCCATGAAGCAGTGGTTAGGATGGACCTGGAGGGAAAAGATGAAGCAATTATTCGGTCAATTCACGTAGCAAACAGAAAGGATCCAAATTATGGAAGCACATCCTCTGAAGCTATGATTTTCATACTTTTTCTTTTTTTGTACTAAGAATTGAACTCTGGACCTTGTGTTTTCCAGGCAGGCACTATACCACTGAGCTATACCCATTTCATACATTTTTAAACATTGCAAAATCCATTCTGAGATTGTATCCAATATAAATATATAAAAAGTTGACTATAGGGACTAGGGATGAGGCTCTGGTAGAGCACTTGCCTAGCATAAGGTGAGACTCTGGGTTCCATCTCTGGCACTGCAGAAGAAAAATAAGTACATTTTAAAAAATCATAAATACCCTAGTTTCCTCCACTGCTGGGTAGAATTAAGACTCTGCAAAAACAGATTGAAAAGCTGGTGTTAAAGGATTCAGTCTTGCCCTACTTTCCCCACAAAGAAGCACATTATCTGAGTCATCCACAAGGCTGAAGTAATAATAAAAACTGCTTTGTATTAAGCATGTTTTGTTCTAGGCATAGTGTCAAGGGTATTTTTTTATTTAGTCATGAATTTGCCAGGCAGGTACTTTTTTCTTTCTTTTTCCTGATGAGAAACTTAAAAAAGGTTAAATAACTTTGATAAGGACAAAAAGCATTTTAGAAAGTGTAGAGCTGCAGTTAATCTCAAATCTGCCACACCGCAGATTTCCATCTCTAATGACTGCCTGTGCATTAATCCCTAGTGCACAGTAGGTGCTTCGTAAAAAGAATACAGTACACTCAGCAGTCCCCTTCTCCCTTCTGTGTGTGTGTCCCTGTGTAATACAGGCTGGCCTCAAACTTCCTGCCTCAGCATCATGAGTGGTGGGGTTACAGATGTGTGCCACGTACCAGGCAGCAGTCTTCATTTTTTACATAAAGAAACTGAGGTTCATGTAATTTCAGTACTTTTACCAATTTCACATAGTTAGCCGGCAAGTGGCAGACTGGGATCCTAAAGTTACATTGTTTGAACTTGATGGACTTGAGTGCTAACCTTAACAGATCAGAAGTAGTATTTATAAACACAGTTGGTAATCTTCTAGGAATAAAAGGTAAAAAGTATTAAAGGATCTCTCGTGCCCATATTGAGAGCTGAATTAAAATTCAATAATCTGGGAAATAACCTTAGCAGGTACTGTATTTCAGTTGGAGGCTGTCCTTGGGAGTCCGTACCCCTGGGAGCAGTGTTGTGCTGAGTCCATTGCCTGAACTGGTTACAGTTTATAATGAAGCTGTCCACCTGGTTTTGAGAAGAAAGCACAGATAAGAGCTTCAAGCCTTTCCCCCAGAGTGGAGGGGGCTATTAATGTTGGTAGGAGCTCTTTGGGCTCCCTGGAGAGAGGCTGAGCTGTTGGAAGAGACAAAGGCTGGGGGAGGGGATAACCTTTGTTCTGAGGCCGACTTGGGGGAGGAAACATTCCTGTCCACATGACCTAAACCCTGGGGGCATGGGCCCGTTTATACCAGATCTTGGTACCTCAACCTACTGAGCCAAGGAGGGGACTATCTGGATTACATTTAGGTGTAGAAGGTACTATCATTCCTCTCCCCACAACACTCCACCACAAAAAAGGGAAAGAAAGAAATGTGCGGTGGGCTGGGGAAAGGATAATGCTGTCCGACCTTCCAGACAGTTTTCCCAACCTCCCTCCGTATTACAGAAGTAACCCTGTTCCTGTTAGGCAGGAGAGTAGTAGTAGTTCTGAGGTTACCGCTCCTCTTGTCTTTGTGGCTGTCTTTGCTGTGTGGCTTTCATTCCATGAATATAGAAGTTGAGAGTTGGGGGGTAGCTTCCAGAAGCAAGTTTGAATTTGAAAGCTAATGCAAATTTGAATTGAAAAGGAAGGTAGGGCTGGGGATTTAGCATAAGTGCCTGTCTGGCAAAGGCAAGGTTGCAGTTTGATCCCCGGTACCACCAAAATAAAAAAGGTAATAGCTGTTATAAGGATAATTTTCTCTTGTTAATCTGTAATACAGGCTTTTTGTTGTGGTAACAACATTCACTAGTTAAGTGACTTAGGATAAACTTTTTTGGGCCTTATTTTTTTTCATACAAAAATTGGAAATTATAGTAGGCTATGAGGATTGATTATGAAGATTGAATGACAGCTGGGTATGGTGATATGCCTCTGTCCTAGCTACTCAGGAGGCTGAAGTGGCACAATACTTGAGCTCAGGTGTTCAAGATTAGTTAGAAGTTGGATATAGTGGTGCAGCACTTGGGAGGCTGAGGCAGGAGGATCGCTGTGAGTTCAAGGCCAGCCTAAACTGCATAGGGACACTGACTCAAAAAGACAAACTAAAGACTAACTTAGACGACATTAAAAAAAAAGTAATAAAATAAATGAACACTTTATAAGCAACATGCCATGACTTTTAAAAGTACTTTCCTACAATAGAATTATTCAGCATCAACAATCTGTTCGGTAGAAATTGTGTAATGTGCCCAAAGAGGAGCCTCTGAATTGAGCCGTCTCTCTTCTTATTACAGCTGTCTGTGAAGGGCAAAGATCAGGAGCCATGCCTCCTAGTAAAGAGGCCAGTAGTCTTCACAGCTCACCAGCAGGGCTCATCTGCCTCCCTCCAATCTCTGAGGAGCTACAGCTGGTATGGACCCAAGCAGCCCAGACCAGTGAGCTGGACAGCAATGAACACCTGCTGCAAACCTTCAGCTACTTTCCCTATCCCAGTCTAGCAGACATTGCCCTTCTCTGCCTACGTTATGGGCTGCAGATGGAAAAAGTCAAAACATGGTTCATGGCCCAGCGCCTCCGCTGTGGCATTAGCTGGTCATCTGAAGAAATAGAAGAGACCCGAGCCCGAGTGGTCTACCATCAAGACCAACTCCATTTCAAATCTCTTCTGTCTTTTACTCATCATGCAGTACGGCCCCCAGAGGAGGTACCATCTTCTCAAATGCCACCTACAGAGCAAGGTGGCCTTGGAATAGGTCCTCTGACTCTCAGTGAGCCCACCCAGATAAAAGGACTGAAGGTAGAACCTGAAGAGTCCTCTCAGAATCTGCCACTGCCACCAAGTCACCAGAAAGGAAAGGAACCCCCTTTGACACCTGGCAGTGGAGCATTCTCTCATCAAACAGATTTTTGGCAGAATCATCAAAGTAGTAGCCTCTCTAAGGAGCAGGCAGGCAAGGGTCCCAACCACTCACATGGCATAGGTACTATTTCCTGGAACCACTCCACGGCTGCCCACCAGCCACGCTCTCGGGATAAACCTCCACAAGTCTCATCGCTGGCCAGTAGTTGTAAGGAGACTGCAACTCGTGTGACTTCTTCTTCCTCTACCTCTTCTTCCTCCTTCCAGGTACTAGCTAATGGAGCTACTGCCAATCCTAAACCCCTCCAGCCACTAGGCTGTGTCTCACAGTCACCGTCACCCAGTAAACAGGCACAGCCTCCACCCATGGAAGCAAGCTGGTCCCAAAGGCTACGGCCTAACTCCCTAGCCGGTAGGGCCAGCCCCACGGGATACCTTTCCCCTGATATGCAACACCAGCGAAAGATTAAGCGCAAAACCAAAGAGCAGTTGGCAATCCTCAAATCTTTCTTTCTACAGTGCCAGTGGGCACGGCGTGAGGATTACCATAAGTTGGAACAGATCACGGGTTTACCTAGGCCTGAGATCATTCAGTGGTTTGGTGATACACGCTATGCCTTGAAGCATGGGCAACTAAAATGGTTTCGAGACAATGCAGTACCTGGTGCCCCTAGTTTCCAAGACCCAGCGACTCCCACACCACCATCAACTCGCTCCTTGAAAGAATGGGCCAAGACCCCACCTCTGCCGGCACCCCCACCTCCACCAGATATCAGACCCTTGGAGAAGTACTGGGCAGCCCATCATCAGCTTTGGGAAACTGATGTCCCTCAGCTGTGCCGGGCGTCAAGGCTGAGCGCCCAGCAGGTGCGGGATTGGTTTGACTCTCAGTTACAGGAGCCAGCTGAGGTGGTGGTTTGTTTAGATGAAGAAGAGGAAGAGGAAGAAGAAGAACTGCCAGAAGATGATGAGGAGGAGGAGGAGGAAGAGGAGGAGGATGATGTGATTATACAGGACTGAGTGGGGGACTAAGGAAAGGGAAAAGTTTGTTACTAAAGGATGAACTGACTTAGTAACTGTTTAAACAAAGAAACCACATTTTAAAAATTACTTTGTGGCAAAGAACTAAAAAGCTTGGTGAAGCTTGGTGTTCTTCAGGGTGGTGATGGGGATGTAGTAAGCTGAGGGTGGATGGGGAGGATACCAGAAAGTCCTCTAGCCTTAAAAGTAGAGAGGGCTAAAGATCAGACAATGAGCCAGGAAGTGGCTCACGAGCTCCTTTTTTCTGGTATTATTCTCCTCTAGCGTTCTAGAGGCCAGGCCTCATCCCCACATCTACAGGAGAAACAGAAAAGGAGGAGTAAAGATCTATAATTCAGTTGATTCTAGTGCATCCTAATCCAATCATTTTCCTTGGATCGCATCCTTCCCTTCTGGGCACAGTGCGTTATCCCAGCCTGCCTCAGATACTTCCTGTCTCTCAGACCAGGTTGATAATTGCGTTTCACTTGCTTCATTGAATCACGGGTAGCAAAATGTTCTCATTTCTGATACTGGGACCACTTTGCCTCCTACTTTTTTAATGCTACAAAACGCCCTCTTTGTTCACTATTTGTCTCAGGGTAAATCTTTCCCACAGTCTTGACAAAGTTTAGAAATTGCGTGTAAATACTTAGTCTAGATAGCTGTTGAAAGTGGGAATTAGGGGAGATGTCTTTTACAAAAATAAAATTACATTACAGAGTGATGGAAAAGGGACAGTTCTGGCAAAGGGTGGTAAAGTAGTACCATATTTGGTTTTACAAACCTGACACTACCTCCTGTCTAGCTTGACAGAGACTGATTTATCAGGTTTTTTTTTAATGTTTAATCTGTGACCAAAAAAAAAAAAAAGACTTTTTCCTCTCTATAGGATCTGTCTGGGGCACAGAGGGCCCATAGTCTTTAACTGAATTATGATGTTTTAGAATGGTTTTCATCAGTTGAGATTATAAAAACAAACATATTAGTTAACTTTCTAAAAATAAGAGTGGAAACCCTGCATTCCTAGAAGATAATAAAAAGGCCCCAAATTAAATTGTTTCTTTTCCACTTTGCTACTCTTAGCACTTAGAGATGAAGTCAAATCCATTAATATTTTTAATTTACGGGCCAGCGTGTGACTTGGTGGTAGACCACTTGCCTAGCCTATATGAGGCCCTGGATTGGATTCCTATCATCAATTAGAATTTTTTTCTGATGTAGTGTACTTTTTATTATTTGAAGGGAAAGGCTTTGTTGAGGTATATTAAAAGAACAAAAACTATAAGGCAGTAGGTCAGCATCTGTCACCACATACATTGTTTCATTGTTTACAGAAGTCACATGAGAATGATTAAAGTTTCTGAGGCTTCAACAGAGAGAGAAAGAAGGTCTGTAGATAACTCTACTTATTCAACCCACTAGAGCTTTTAATAGTAACAGGTGCAACTGAGGATTTAGCTCAGTGGCATAAGCACCTGCCTGGCAAGTGTGAGGTCATGAGTTCAATCCCCAGTACCACAAAAAAAAAAGGAAAAAAAGTAATAGGTGCAATAATAAAGGGGCACCTTCTTTGTTATCTACAGAGTTTAGTAAATGGGAAATCTCCATCTCCAAATATTTCTAGCAAAGGAAAAATCAACATATTTAGTGCTGGGGACATAGCTCAGCAGCATAGTGCCTGCCTGGTAAGTGTGAGATCATGAGTTTGATTCGTGGTATCAAAGAAAACCAAAAAACATTTAACAGTAACCAGGCACACAGGCAACAATAGATAAATAGGAAGAGTATACAAGGAACAGAGAGCTGCTGCTTGCTAACATTAGCAATGGGGCAGTATATCCAAAGCTAAAAAATGAAGTCTAGAAACAAAACAAATTGAGTATATTTCCAATCTCTCAAGCATGATGCCAGGAATTACTGTTACAACTTAAGTTTCATAGTGTAGTACATGAAAGGAGCTACATATGCCCAGGGAGAGTTAAAACATCTTCCTGAAGCACTAACCTTATGTAAGACTTGACTACTTTCCTAGGAGGGAATACAGGATGGACAGGGAAAAGCTACAGAATGAGTAAGGTACAGAGTGAAACCAGGAGACAAAGTAGAGGTTCGTTTTCCTAGGCCATCTCCTTGGACCGGTGCGGGATGCTATTAAGTCCAGCTTTCAGTAGTATGTACAGATCGGACTTCGATGATGGTCTATCTAGAGGTGGAGTGGCCTTCTCTCTCTCTGGTTGATCCCATCTGCCTCTGTTGGTAAAGAGTCTGCAACAGATGGCAGGAAGGCAGATTTGAGTGTTTATAGCAAAAATGGCTAGTAAGACCCTGGCAAGCCATATATGAAGTTCATCAGAACATAACCATGGTTGCTTTCCCGAGATTTTTCCTACTGCATAATGATCAGTTACAGATAAAGATAATGCATCTTGTGAGACAGGCTTGTTGCTTACAGAACTGAAATATTTCAGTGGCTAAAGGTGACAGTAGTGGTTTATGACACTAATATTTGAAAATCAAACTATTTTGGAAGATCTAGAACATGTGATTACCATGCCCAGAGATGATTATCAGGGAAACAGAATTCTTATGCCTCCAAGGAAGTACTTTCCTCAATAACTATTTTTTAAAAAGGCAAACTAGAATAATGAACTCATATACCCATCACCTAACTTCAACAAATAACTCATGCCCAATTTTCTATTTCTACTTGCCATTGATCCTATCTACCAAATTATACTAAAATAACATCTGGATATCATTAATTTTCCATTAATAAAATTTTGTATGCATCTACAAAATAAAAAAACAGTATCGTGCCTAAACAATGCCCAGTCTTTAATAACAAATGTCCAATACACATTTGATATCCCTCAACTATCTAATAGTATACTTTTTTCTTCAATAGGATTTTATTGGTACATTTTAGACTTTTTTCTCTTTTGTCTTTTTGAGACAAGATTCACTATGCAGTTCAGGCTGGCCTTGAACTCAATTTGTAGCCCAGGCTGACCTCAAACTCATAGCAATCCTCCTACCTCAGCCTCCCAAGCACTAGATTACAGGCAGGCACTACCACTCCATTCCTTTGGGAATGTGAACTTACCTTTTTAAAAATATTTATTTATTTATATTTTACATATATATAATAATCACATTCATCATAGAGAATTTGTACCTGTACATAATATAACTTGATTTTTTTTCCCATTTCTCTGTCTGCCCTTCAACCCCTTCTCCCCTCCCCATTTATTTATATTTTTTTACTTTTCTCTTATTTCCTCTCTTACCTCTTTTGTTTTCCTCCCCATTTTAATATTTTTGTCCTATTTCACAACATCTAATATGCATTTGGGGCCTTATTTCTGTTTTCAGCTTCTCATACCAGAAAAACAATGTATTATATATGTATGTCTAATTTATTTCACTTAAGAGTAGATCTCAAGGTGCATCCATTTACCTAGGAAAGTCTCAAGCGTATCTTCCTTTATGGCAGAGTAGTACTCCACTGTACTTAAAAAAAATCATCTTTATCCACTCACCAGCTTATAGGCATTTGGGCTATTTTTTCTTTTTTTTTTTGTCTTTTTGATTTTTATCGGTACCGGGGATTGAACTCACGACCGCCTGCTTGCAAGGCAGGTGCTTATGCTGCTGAGCTAAATCCCCAGCCCCCTATTTTTTCAATGGAATTTTTTAACAGCTTTGAAAAAATCAAGATCCGGGCTGGGGGTTTAGCTTAGCAGCACAAGTGCCTGCCTGGCAAGTTTGAGGTCATGAGTTCAATCCCCAGTACCAAAACATAAATAAAAATCAAGCTCTAATATCCTCAAAACCGAAGTCATAAAAATTGAAAGGCAAGATCAGACTTTTCCTTTAATAGAGGCTTTAGCAAACTTCTCATTGCCATGTTCTTTTCCTTTTGTTGCCTGGATAAAAACCATACTCCCATAAATTTACAAAGCATTATTCTACCTATCTGGAGAAATGTGATTTTTCTTAATTCAAATAGTACCTTCACCCAAAAGGTACAGTCCACTGAAAATTCTTTGTTGTAGAACTACTGGAAAGTGTCACTCTGCCACTGATTAAAACCTCTTGGTTGAAATCTTACTTCCACTTGACTTTAATTTAAAAACTCCAAACAGGGTGTGATGGTACATGCCTATAATCGTAGCATTTGGGAGGCTAAGTCAGAAAGATTGCTGCTAGTTCAAGGCTAGTCTGAACTACATAGAGAGGCCTTGCCTCAAAAAACAAAACAAAATCCCACGAACTACAAAGCTATATTTAACCATTTAGGAAGCTGAGGCAGAAAGATCACTAGTTCAAGGCCAGCCGGAGCAATTTAGTGAGAGTTTGTCTAAAAAGGGGCTGGAAATGTAGCTCAGTGCTAGAGCACTTTCTACCATGTATAAAGCCCTAAATTCAATCCCCAGTATCACACACACAAATTTTAAAGTAAAAGTCCCAAACCAGGAACATAATCTGACAGTACGACAGAACCTTTGAAAATGAGCAAGGAGCCGGACATAGTGGTATACATTTGTAGTCTCAGCACGTGGAATATAGGATTATTGCCACAAGTCAGGGCCAGCCTGAACTACATAGCAAGACTCTGTTTCAAAGACAAAACAAGGATAGCATGGTAAAAACATGTTTACTAGATCTGAAACCCATTTCACTCTGCACTGATTACATTCTACCACACTTTAACTAAACCAGAAGGCTTGTAGTGTGTTGGCCCAACCATGTGAGTTTTTGTGCATAGGTAAGTTAGACTAGCAAGGCCTTACCTGCATGACTGGTAGTTGAAAGCCAGAAAAACTCTCTAGAGGCGTTCTGTTCTCCCTTTGACCTGATGACAAGGAAATGGTGACAATTTGGGCAGTTGCTCAGCAGTGCCACATATTATGGTCAGGGTCGCTAGGTAGTTCCTAAATCAAAGGAACACTACTCAAAAAGGAAAAGACTATTAGCTAAGCAATATCAGAGATATTTATAATCATAAGGTCCATTATTACCTGTGAAGATGGGATGTCAACAAAGCCACCTGAGATTTGAGTTTAGCTATGAATGGAAATATGAAAGATAGTGGCACCTTAGCAAGAGGGCTAGTAGCAGAGGTACTCTTACTTTAAAAGATGGAGACAAAAAAAAGGTGTTGATTTTATACAACTCACAATTGAGCTCCCAGCATGTTCAAAATAAGTATGTTTAACATAGAGATCTAAAAAAAAAAGCCAGTTTGTTCCAATTCTGTAGATCAATCTGGCTCAACAGTAGAATTCAACTGGTGACGTGATGAGTGTTATCCAGGTAAAATCTCTCCACTGTAAAGGAAATAGGGTAATTCTTTTTTTTTTTTTTTTCTTTTTCCTTTTTATCGGTACCAGGGATCGAACTCATGTCTGCCTGCTTGCAAGGCAGGCGCTTATGCTGCTGAGCTAAGTCCCTAGCCCCCACCTTGGAAATCTTAATTGTAGTTTGTGTCAGTAGTTAACGTGCGGGACAACTCCAGTAACTCCCCTTGAATGCAAAAAATTACTTTGCCTTTTTGATTATTTGGAGACTTATTTCCTTATACTGATATGTAAAAAGCTGGCTAGGGTATTTCCTTCCCTCTTCAATGGGCTCTAAGCATTGCAAATAAAGCTAGCTGAGCTGCTGTATATAATCTCTAAATTCAGCAGACAGTCTTGTTTCCTCACATAGTGTTCTTCATATAGGATATGTACAGGATATGAGCACAGTGGGATGCTAGAGCCAATAGCTCCAAAAATGTCAACTGAGTATGAGCCTCAAGATAAAGAGGCTATAACTTCTCAGGGCACAAGAGTTTACATATCAGAAACTGAAGTGATAGCCCCCCCCCCCCAAAGAATTCCGTTGTTACCTTAATTAGATTGTATAAATTGATCCTTCTGCATATCTTTATCTCTGCAATTTACAGAGATGCCATTCTTCCACCTGGCCAGCCAGCTCAAGTTACATAATTCCCACCAACATCACTGTCACTCATCCTTGAGCCACCCCCCCCCCCCTTCTTCACAAGATAATAAATTCTGGGAGAGGACTAGGATCAAGGCCTTTGTCCACATGACCTCACAAGGAGGATTAGACTAAAAACCCCTTGGATGCCCTTAACTTGGAATATGTTTTGGTGTCTTTACTCTCCCCATGGGTTGCATTGGTGGTGGTAGAAGATTAAAATTAACTTGCTGGGATTCTAATAACGTCTCAATGGGATTACAAATATAATTTTTTGGATTGTGAGGAAAACTAAAACTAAAGAGGATTACAATACTTAGATGACTAAACTCGATATTTGGGATTACAATAGTTAAAACTCTACTCATTGAGAATAGTTAAAACTTACCAGGATTGCTGGGGTTAAGGACTCTTGTGTGGCCTGACTCTCCATTAAATGGTCTGAAAAAAAAAGTCCCCTGCCCGGAGGAGGCAGATGAAGTTCTAAGGAAAAGAAATAAAAACATAAGCAGAGAAAAGGAAGCATAAAAGTAAAATCCATATGCAATGAAGGGCCTAAACATTTAGGTCAGAGAGGAAAAAAAATTCTTTGCTTGTAAAAACAAAACTAATTCAGATGTACATTAATACAATGCTATTCAACCATCTCTTTTATTTGTAAAGCAAATTATAAACTTTAATGGTATAGAACAATGGAGAAGTAACCCTAGTAGAGTGTCAGTGTGAACAGATCCTCAGAGAGAGGAAGCATGATGCTACTCACCTATAAGGCAGGCTGTGAGTTGAAGCTGGTGAGGGAGTTTCTAGAAAATATAAAATTTGCCTGTATGATAATCCAGGAACCAGAAAAGAGATTCAAGATACTAGGGGCCAGAACAAAAGTAATGGGGATCAAAAACTCAGTGTATATGTTAGGATTAGGGGCCAATAGTGAGTAACAGGCTTACAAGGCACATAGCAATACCTCACAAAGGTGCTTTCTCCTCCATTTCAGGAGTCTGCAGATCACGATCCATTACTATCTTGATGTGCTCTAATGTACCTGTGTTGGTTTCCCCTTTAAGATGGGAGATTACCAGAAAGTACAACTAAAGACTAAAGTCGTTAAATTAGCTAGTCATTAAATTAACCAAGATGTGGGACAGAGCACTGTAAATTATTTCTTCCATAAGAGCAGTGACAAGTATACATAAGAGCAGGCATGAAGTATACAGCTCTAATCCTAGCACTCTGGAAAGCTGAAAAGGATCACAAGTTTGAGCCTAACTTGAGCAATTTATCAACATACATACACAGTTCAAAAAAAATTTTTTTAAGGTTTCCATTTCACTCCAGAAAGAATGGCTGTCATCAAGAAATCAAACAATAACAAATGCTGATGAGGCTACGGGAAAAAAAGAACCCTTCTATACTGTTAGTGGGAATATAAACTAATATAGCCACTATGGAAATCAGTATAGAGATTCCTCAAAGTAAAAATAGAAATTCCATTCAACCTGATTATTCCCTTCTGGATGTCTTTCTGAAAACGGTAATGTCATCATATTACAGTGATACATGCATTCCCATATTTATAGCAGCACAATTCATAATAACTAAATCTTAGACATAGGCTATATGTCCATCAATAGATAAATGGATGGAAAAAATGTGGTATTTTAAAAAAAATTTTTTTTTAAAATCAATACCAGGGATCGAACTAATGACTGCCCGCTTGCAAGGCAGGCGCTTGTGCCGCTGAGCCAAATCCCCAGCCTCAAAATGTGGTATTTCTACACAATGGAGTACTACTTTGCTATAAAGAAAGATACATTTATAGGAAAATGGATGTACCTTGAGACCACAATGTTAAGGGAAATAAATCAGACATAGAAGAATAAATATTGTATAGTTTCACTTATATGGGAAACCCCAAGTATACATAGAGAGTAAAATAAAAAGTAAACAATAAGAAACAAAAAGACAGATCTTTTGCAAATGGGAAGGGCACCAAGAAATGAAGGGAGGCGAGAACAAGGAGAGGCAATATGGATATAAAAATAAGATGTATTATGTACATGAACCAACTCCCCACAATTAATGTGATCACTACGTACTTCAAACATGTGGTAATAAAAGTAGAACCCTGGGTTCAGTCCCCAGCACACAAATAAACACTTGGCACTGTGGAAAAAAAATAGATTCTCTTATAGACAGCACATAGTTGAACCTGTCTTTTGTAAAATAAATATGAAAAAGATTCCACAAATAATGTGCATCTACTCAATGCATTTGATATTTCATGGGTAAATGTGCTAAATTTTCTTGAAAAGATGTTACTGTCCTGAATAAATTTACTAGAAAAACAAAACTGCAGACTTGCTAAGGTAGATTAAGCCTAAAGAAAGTACATATGAGATTTATTAAAAATATAAAAGCATAATTTCATAGTTTCAAATCTCAACTGCTATAGAGAGTAGATCAACTAGTATGTGATCATCACGATTGTTCTGTTCAGGGAGACAAAAGATGGTGCAGGAAAGAATGGTGTTGCTAAGAAAAGGGATGATATAGAAGGTCTGTATTTAATTGGAGAGTTTAATCCATTTGCATGTAATGTAATTACTGATGAAGAAGAACTTTTGTCATTTAGCTATTTGTTTTCCATATGTCTGAAGTATTTTTATTGATGTTTTATTTTTTTGCTTTGTTTTGGTACTGGGAATTGAACTCAGAACCCTGCACATACCAGGAAGGCATTGCATCACTCAGCTAAATCCTCAGCCCAGTTTTGTTTTGTTTTTTGGTACCAGGGATTGAACTCACCACCTCAAGCTTACCAAGCAGGCACTTATGCCACTGAGTTAAATCCCTGGCCCTTGGTTTTGTTTTTTGGTACTGGGGATTGAACTCATGACCTTGCACCTGCCAGGCAGGTGGTTATGCTACTGAACCAAATCTCCAGCCGCTCTGTTTTTTTTTTTTTTTTTTGTCTTTTTGAGACAGGGTCTCACTATGCGGTTCAGGCTGGCCTTGAGCTCACTTTGTAGCCCAGGCTGGTCTCGAACTTGCAAAGATCCTTCTGCCTCAGCCTCCCGAGTGTCTGTTTTGTTTTTTAATTGGGCCATCCTATGTCCTAGGTTGTCCTTGAAATATGTAGATCCACTGGCTTCAAATTTATGATGCTCCTGCCTTGGCTTCCTAGAGTACCGGGACTGGTTACAGGCTTGCATGACCATTCCTGGCTTGTCTCTGTCTTTTTAGTTCTCTTTTCTTCTATTTTTGTCGTCTTTATGTTGTTATTTTCTAGCATATTATTTTAGTTTCTTTGTTCTTTTATTATTTTTTGGAATTTTCTTAGAAATGAACATTAACATTTTATAACAGTGTACTTTAAATTTTCAAAAATATATAATAAATTTCCCACACACAATTTTGTTTTGAGACAGGATCTCATTTAGTATTTAGATCTTTGATTCATTTTGCTTTAGTTTAGTCCATGGTGAAATACAGGTCTAGATTCAGTCTTTTGCATGTGCATTCCCAGCAGAACTGCTAAAGAGGGTATCTTTCCTCCAATGTTTGTTTTTTGGCTTATCTGTCAAAGATCAGATAGCTGAATGTGTCTAGGATTGTTTCTGTATTTTCTATCTTGTTCCATTGATCCACGTTTGTTTTTGTGTGAGCACCATGCTGTTTTTATTATTGTAGCTTCATAGTGTAATTGAAACCTAGGATTGTGATGCCTCTTCTTTGCTTTGTTGCCCGTGATTACTTTGCTATTTCTGGATCTCTTATGATTCCATATGAATTTTAGGATTGTTTCTCTAGTTCTGTGAGGAATGCTGTTGTTATTTTAATAGGGATTGCATTAAATCCAAATACCCATTTTAAGGGGCTGGGGATTTAGCTCAGTGGCAAAAGTGCCTGCTTTGCAAGCGCATGGTCGTGAGTTCGATCCCCAGTACCGATAAAAGAAATTTTTTTAAAAAGGTGTCACAAATACTCATTTTGGAAGTTTGGACATTTTGACATTTTTGGTTCTGCCTATCCAGGAATAGTAGATGTTTTTTCATTTTCTGATGTGTCTTTGTTCTACTTTTCCAGAATACTGTAGTTTTGGGGTTAGTGGTTATTGTTTGGTTTTTGATTTTTTTTGTTTGTTTTGTAGTGGGAATTAAACACAGGACCTTGTGCTTGCCAGGCAGGCACTTGTGCCATTGAGCTATATCCGCAGCCCTAAAGTACTGTAGTTTTTGTTAAAGATGTCTTTCACTTGTTGGTTAGGTTAATTCCTAAGTATTTAACTTTTCTTGATGCTATTATGAATGGTATTGCTCCCTAATTTCTTTTTCAGAGACTTACTTTAGATTCAAAGACACATATAGAATGAAAACAGAACAATGGAGGAGCTGAGGGTATATTTCAGGGGCAGAGTTGTGGCCCTAACATGCACAAGGCCATGGGTTTGATCTGTACGATACACTCACTCACACACACACTCACTCACACACACACACACACACACACACACACACACACACACACACAGAAAGAAGAAAGTAGGAGAGAAAAGTATTCCATGCCAACAACAAATAAAAGGAATAGTTGTACTGATAATAGACAAAATAGGCTTTATGAAAGATTGTTACCAGAAACCAAAAAATGGTGTTTTATAATAATAAAAGCCAAGAGATAGGGGGAGGAGGAGGAGATATAAAAATAATTAAGATGTGCTATGTACACATATCAGCTCCCTATGAATGTAATCATTATGTGTGGCAAACATGTAGTAATAAAAATAAAAATTATAATAACAAGCTATGTGTAGTAGTGTATGCCTGTAATTCTAACACTCAGGAGTCTGGGGAAGGAAGACTGCTCCAAGATTTAGGGCAGCCTAAAGAGTGAGTTCAAGCCCATCTTGGACTATGTGGTGAGACCCTGTCTCAAAAATCCAAAAGGGGGCTGGGGATTTAGCTCAGTGGCATAAGTGCCTGACTTGCAAGGGTGCGGTTGTGGGTACCAATAAAAAAAAAATCCAAAAGTAAATAAAATAATAAACAAAAGGGTCAATTCACTAGTAACATATAATATTTATATGTGCACCTAAAAGCAGAGCCCTAAAATATATAAACTAAAAATTGACAGAATTGAAGAAAAAGAATTCAATAATAGTTGAAGATTTCAATAGCGCATGTTTAACAATGAACAGAACAAGTGGAGAGTTCAGCAACACTAAATACCAAATAAACCCATCAGGCATTATGGAATACTCTACTTGACAGTAGTAGAAAATACATTCTTCTTCTTAGATAGCCACAAAGAAAAAGAAAATTATGTCATTTCAGGAAAATGAATGAAATAGAAATCATATTAAATGAAATAAACCAGATTCAGAAAGACAAGTATTACATTTTCCCTAATATGAGACATCTCAAAATAAAGATTTTTTTTTTTTTTACAGTACTGGGGATTAAATCTAGGGCCTTGCACTGTTAGATTCCTAACACTTTTCAAATTTTGTACTCCAGCACAGAGTCTTGGTAAGTCATTAAATTGTCTAGGCTGGGCTCAAAATTGTGAACGTCCTACCTTGCCCTTGCAGAGTATTGGAATTATAAGGTATATGCCGCTATGCCTGGCTTAGAGATGAGAGGAAGGGAATACAGAGGACTGGGGAGTGGATGTAGGGAAAAGCTGTATGGGCTGGGTACCATCAAAAGGTTACATGCATGTATGAAAATATATTTAAAATTTCAATGTTTTATAAAATTGATACAGTCAAGAGATTCATGACTATAAATATCTATGTTAAAAATCTCTAATTTTCCACATTAAGAAATGAGAAAAAGGGGCTGGAGGTTTATTTTTATTTATTTATTTATTTATTTATTTTGTCTTTTTCCTTTTTATCGGTACCGGGGATCGAACTCACGACTGCCTGCTTTCAAGGCAGGTGCTTATGCCGCTGAGCTAAATCCCCAGCCCCTAGAGGTTTAGCTCAGTGGCATAAGCGCCTGCCTTGCAAGCAAGCAGTCGTGTTCGATCCCCGATACTGATAAAAAGGAAAAAGACAAAAAAAAAAAAAAAAAAAAAAAAAAAAAAAGAAAAGAAAAGAAAAGAAATGAAAAAAAGAACTAGAGCCAAAACAATCAGAAGGAAGGAAATAAGATTAAAGCACAAGTAAATGAAAACAATAGAGAAAACCAAAAGTTAGTTCTTTGACATGAATGACCAGGGAAAAAAAGACCTCAGTAAAAACAAATACATAAATGAAAACAAAACAAACAAAAGAGATCCCAGTTACTAAAATTAGGAATGAAGAAAGAATACTACCAACATGATAGAAATCTAGAATATCTACATTTTTCAAAGGTGCATGTAGAAGAATTAAAGACTTGGTGATTTTTTTAAATGAAAGAAATTTGGAAATTTCAAATTTTCCTGTTGTGAAAGAATATATTCTCAAAAAAAATAATATATCGGGGCTGGAGATTTAGCTCAGCGGCATAAGCACCTGCCTTGCATGCAGGCAATCGTGAGTTCGATCCCCGGTACCGACAACAAAATAAATAAATAAAAATTAAAAATAATATATTCTCTGGCAGGGCACAATGGTGCCTGCCCATAATCCCAGCACTCTGGAAGCCTGAGGGAAAAGGAGTGCAAGTCTGAGTCTACCTTAGGCAAGACCCTGTTTAAAAAAATTAAAAGGGCCAGGAATATAGTTCAGTGTGAAGGCCCTGGGTTCAATCACCAGTGCCACAAAGAAAACCCAAAACAAAATAACAAAACATTTTCTGACAGTATTCTCCAGTATACACAAAAACCAAGAAAAGATCATACTGATAGGTATTCTCTAGGGACTGGCTAATGCCCTTGAAAATAGCAACAATTATAGTTCCAAAGGAATATAAACATGAGAAACTAAGTGGCTGGAACCAAAATATTTCTTCACTGAAATATGTTCATGTTTATAACATGTTTGTAATCTTAGCACTGAAAGAGGCTGAGGCAGGAAGATTACAAATGCCCTGCTTGAACAATTTAGCAAATTTTAGAAATTTTGTTTTAGAAAAGAACAATTTCTTTTCTGTCTCAAAAGAAAAAAACAAAAAGACTAGGGTATATATAGCTTAGTGCAAAGGCTCTGGGTTCAATTTCCAGCACAGGGAAAATCTACTGATCTATGCATACGCACCTATACGTATATATACCTAGACACACAGAAAGGTTCCTTTCAGAGCTAACTTATACTGCCATCTTGTGGCAGTTTTAAAAATTCACTCACTCTTCCTCAGAAGTCACCTTCAAATTGCTGACCAGAGGTTTCCATTGGCTTTTTTGTTGTTCAACTTTTTATTTTCCCTTTGCAGTTTAATGACAAAAAAAAATTTTTTTTGCAGTACTGGGGATTGAACTCATGACCTCGTGCTTGCCAGGCAGGCACTTATGCCACTGAGCTAAATTCCCAACCCCAACAAAAATATTATTTGAAAACTTTTAATACATGTTAGTATACCTGGAATCAGTGTCTGGAAAAAACAAAGTAAAATGGCATAATGCACAGAAATCCACTGGTCTCTGCACAGATTAAATTGACTTTTGACACTGCCCCCACACCCCCCGCCTCTTACCAAAGTTAGAGTCTCTGGGAGTGCTCCTTCCCTGTAGGAAAGGGAGATAGAAAAATAATATGCATTAATAAGGATAACTCTATTTTCTAACTTCCCTATTCCCTATTTCTGTATATCTACACTTTCAAGCATAGTTTGTTCTCTGGGAGTGGACATACTAGTCTAAGAAAGATTTGTCCTTTTTACTTCCAAAATAAAAATGATGAAGCTGGGCATAATGGTGCACATCTGTAAATCCCAACCCTCAGAAGGCTGAAGCAGGTGGATCGCTGTGAGTTTAAGGCCAACCTGAACCACACAGCAAGACCCTGTCTCAGAAAACCAACGTGATGAACACCAGTAGCTTTCACTCCTTCCACCCCTATTTATTGTGTCAGCTTCTAACACCTTGTCTCCATGGCTAAACCAAAATAGAGTCTGGATAGCATCAAATTATTTATGCTAAAAGCCAATATAAATTTAAGATTTTAGTCCTAATTTTTTGCTTTCATTAAGCATTCCATTAGAAAGCTAAGTCTATTCTTTCTTTTCTTTTTTTTTTTTTTTGTCTTTTTCATTTTTATCGGTACCAGGGATCAAACTCACGACTGCCTGCTAGCAAGGCAGGTGCTTATGCCGCTGAGCTAAATCCCCAGCCCCATAAGCTCAGTCTACAAAGAAAAGGTGAATATTACTTACTTGTCCCACAGTACCAAAGCCAGGCACTCTATAAGGCATAGATTCCACAGAGGAGGACCGACTGTAAAGGGGGAGAACAAACAAACAAACAAAAACTGCTGTTCAACTTAGACACAGACTTAAAGTCTCTTCAGTGCCTATCTGAGCCACATGTAAATATTTCTTTCATCTTCTATCTTTTGCCAGTGGTTTAAATTTTGCTTATAGGCTTTTTACTCACCTGACCACCTGGCTGCTATGCTGGGAACTGGGTCGTGGTGTAACTAAAAAATAGTACAGTATGAAAAGTTGTCAACAGGTTGAAGGGAGGGTAGGGGAATTGGGAAAAAAGAAGCAAGTTATATCATATGCAGGTACAAATTCTCTATCATGAATGTGATCATTATACATACCTAAAATGTATCAATAAAAGTGATTTTTAAAAAGTTGCCACCAATAGCATGCTCTGCCTCACCTAGCCAATTTGTTGTGAGTGATGATCTAATATTTCTAATATAATACATAAGATTAGGAGAATCACATGGTCTCTGAGAAAAAAATTTTCATATGAGGAAAAGATATTCATTCATCTCACATTTGGAGAAAAACTATTCTTTACCTGACTGTGATGGAGAAGTAATGCCCACTGGTCGAGGTGTGGTCAGCCTACAAAAAACAAAGAAAGAGGCTGCTCTAATCTGACTAAGCAGAATTTAAGTGCCACTTTAGGGGATTGATCAGATCACTGTCCATAGAAATATAGCACATGGCTGGGGATATAGCTCAGTAGCACAACACCTGCCTGACAAAGGCAAGGTTGTGAATTTGATCCCCAGTATCAAAAAAATTATATAATGTAATTATATATATATATACACATATATATATACACACACACACACACATATATATATATATATATATATATATCACAGATTGCTTACTTTCATGTATTACAGGTATCACATGAAAGTAAAGGTTCTTACAAGGCCTTTTACTCTCCAACTCCCTAAGTGAAACCTCCACTTCTCCCCTGTCCATATTAGTGTTTTATTTTGTTTCAATACTGGGAATTGAACTCAAGCTCTTCATATTGAGCTGCACCACTCCCAATTCTTTTTTTGTTTTGTTTGTTTGTTTAAGACAGGGTCTCACTAAATTACTAAAGTTGCCTAGGCTAGGCTCAAACTTGTGATCTTCCTGCCTCAGCCTGCCAGAGTCATAACAGAAGTTTTGGAATATTTCTTTTCTTCCTTCCTATACTACTTTACTAAGTACTCAGTCTTACATCTGTCCAGCCAATCATACATCCCTTCATCTCTAATTTATTCACTTAGCAAACACTTATATAGTATCTATATCACCTATGTCTTAAGATTACAAAGACAACTAGAATAACATTCTCTTTGACAGGCTCATAGGCTAGAAAGAAAGATAAAAAATAATCAGAAACTGGGTACAGAGTGCAGTGGTGGGACATTTACTTTTGAGACCCTGAGTTCAACGTCCAGAACCATGAAGACAACCACAACAGTGTTAATAATGGATGTATCAGAAATATGCAAACATAAAAGACCATGAGGCAGTAATTTTTATGAGTGTAGAGGTGTGTTTTTTAATCCACCAGTGCAGGGCTGACAGTACAAGTATTTCACAGTTGGAACGACACAGCACCATTTGAAAGAACTAGAGCTATATATCCAGCATGTGACATACTTCCTGCTAAACAGTAGGCACTGAACATTTATTGATGAATGAGTGAACAGACTCTACCTAATGTAGTCTTTCTAAAGAAAATGATGTGAGTTGAATTTTGAATGAGTGTGACTTCAAAAGACAATATGCAAAGGCAAGCATTTATAATTAACATTTCACATCAGCACTCTTTAGTAATACGTGTGTGTGTGTGTGTGTGTGTGTGTGTGTGTGTGTGTGCGCGTGCCCAGGGCCTCACACACAGTAGGCAAGCACTGTACCACTGAGCTACATCTCCAGATCAGTAAGAAGGATCTGTAAGTAACTCTTTATTAGAGAAGTAAAAGATAAACTTATCAATCACTTTCTCCATCTCAGAGCCCACACAGCCAGGAGTCCAAAAACAGGCTCAAAGGTTCCCAATGCAAAGCAATTATAAGTGTTTAAGGAGTGGCAGATGGTACTTACTTTTATCTAATCGTTATACATTGTATATAGGTACCAAATTACCATGTTATACCCCATAAATATGTATAATTGTTAAGTGTCATCTTTTAAAAATTTAAAAAGCACAGAAAGTTTCAAGGTCGGGGGCTAGTACAGTTACTGATAAAACTGACCTGCTTCCTTGGTACCGACTTGGAGATTCCTGTAGATAAAAAAAAAAAAAAAAAAAATGAAGTAAAGGAAGCTGCAGATCAAAGGTCCTAACCAAAGGACCCCATCTTACTTGTTAGGTAACTCAGCTGTAAACTTTTCCTGGTGATCTGGTGGGTAAAATAACTGAGATGCAGTGTCCCCTAGTGGTTGCTAAGATTCCCAGCAGGAGAAAGTAAAGCTGCAATGTTTCCTTAGAAAATTGTTAGCTTTGAGGGAATAAAATTTTAGTTTCTCTTCTTAAGAGCATGCTGGGAATCCTGTAAATTATCATTTTTTAACATTGGAGCCTGAATCCAGACCCTCATGCACATTAGAGAAGTACTCTACCACTGAACTATATTCTCAAGCCCTTCTTTTATTTCCTTTTGAGATAAGGTCTCACTGAGGCAGCCCTTGAATTTGCATTCCTCCCACTTCAACATTCCAAGTATTTGGGATTACAGGCATGCACCACTACTCCTGGTTTAGAGAAGTATGAAGTCTCTGGGGGACTGATTACATTGTACTAGAATAGTTACAGGAATGGGATCAACACGACAATCACATAAATACACAAAACAGTCTTAGGATAAAAGAAATGTCTAGGAAATAGAGTATGTATGAGAGGAAGAGTCCGGAGGCATCATAGACATCTTTTTGTTGTTTTGTTTTTTCTTTTTTGTGAAACAAGGTCTTGCTAGGCCACATTAACCTTGAACTTACCCTCCTTCTGTTTCAGCCTCCAGAGTGTTAGAATTAGAGGCACAAGCCATCATTCCTGGATTTCTTGGACTTCTTGAAGAGGAATTTAAAAAATGGTAACATGTTTTATCTATAAGAGAGTTGTCTCTCTGGGTATAGTAGCACATACTGTAATCTTGATACTCTGGGAGCCTGGAAAATTTAGGGACTTAGCAAGACTCTGTCTCAAAATAAAAAAATTTAAAAGGGCTAGGGATACAGCTAAGTGTAACAGCCTTGGGTTCAATCCCCAGAAATATGAGGAGAAACGAGACATAGCTAGACAGTGACAGAGACAGAGAGAAGGACAAAGAGACTAGTAAGACAGGCAGAAGCACAGACACACACACACACACACACACACACACACACACACACAGAGAGAGAGAGAGAGAGAGAGAGAGAGAGAGAGAGAGAGAGAGAGAGAAAGAGGAGAGAGACTTTTAACTGGTATGTTAGTTTTCACTGATATTCAAGAATTGGTTACAAGTGTCCTAAATATTCATCAATTCTTTCAACCCTTACAGATTTTCTATGGCCTCATCTATTAACTACAGTGTGCTTGAGTACAAATATCAGTCTACATGTGTTCTATGATATGAAATGGGTTAGGAAGTATTATTTTATACAGTCAGATAGACAGATAAAAAAGTAAGAGAAAATGTAATTATATTCATTCACCTTTAGGAAGGCTATAAGTTTCTTCAGTTCTCCATTCTCTTTTCTTAAGATTGACAGCTCTCTAGGCAAAAGATGGAAGCAATAAATTCCAAGTCAGTGGAATAAAAAAATTATTATTATTACCAACATCTAGGTAGTGTTTAGTGAGAGATGCTTACAGATATACAGAGTATTTCTACCTGAGATCTGATGATTTTAAGGGACAGTGGCAGGGCATTGATGATAAAAACAATCAAGTCAACAAAACAAGCAGACACTTGTTACAACTTCTGGGGAGTCTGCATAGACTCCATTCCTCTCACATAATTAGCCTGCTAATGTCTAAAAAGTTCCATCAAGGATTTCACCTTTTAGTTTAAGATTTCCAAAATACACCCTCTCAGAGATAATATTTTAAATGTTATATCCCATTTTTATCAGTGTGACAAAAGACTGAAGAAGTGGTCTTTATGCAGGGAAGTTAAAGGACGCTATAAAGTAAGAAGAGCCAAGAAAGAAAGAAAAATACCAAATGGAGACTGAGGGGACCAACCAAAAATTATGTACCTGATTTTCTCAAAACAAACATAATATACATGGGAAAATTTTTGATCTTTGCAAACACAAGGAAATAAGGACTATAACATCACTGAAGGGAAGAAAAGCTATCTGTGAATTTTACTTGTTACTTACTTGTCCCGGTTGGCCACTGTCTGCTGTGCCTCCTCAATGGCTGCTTCTAACTTTATAATTCTGTGCTTATAAAAGGCAATGAGGAGATTTGTTTGTTTCTTCTGGAAACTCCACACCTACTAGGAAAAATAGGCCTTTGGCAGCATTTTCAAGACTCCCTTCCCCTCATTTTTGGCAATGAATGAAAATCTATCAATCCATAGTTTATTACTGCTCTTTTACTTCTAGAACATTTGGGTTAATTCATAACTCTAGCTCAGCACTAGGGAAAAGTTTTTCATTTCCCAAACACTAGCTTTCTAATTTCTTTTCTTTCTTTCTTTTTTTTTTTTTTTGTCTATTTTGTTTTTATCGGTACCAGGGATCGAACTCACAACTGCCTGCTTGCAAGGCAGGTGCTTATGCTGCTGAGCTAAATCCCCAGCCCCGCTTTCTAATTTCTTAATGGTAATATTGTGACATAAAATGGTCCTTTAAAAATGCAGTATTTTGTCCTCTCAGAATTGGTTCTAACTTGTCTACAATTATCTTGGACTCACCTTCCATAGACTTAGCTATTACAGATCACTGGTGACCATTTTACTTTCCCTAAGCAGGTATACAGTCACTTGCAAGTGGTTCGTGCTCCTGCAGTGAAGGGTGAAGATGCACAGAAGTACGTATTTCTGAATTTTATTTCTGGGCATGGACACAAATTGTATCTTTTGTGTCACTTTAACAGTTGCTATACTGAGGTACAGTACTTATCATGAGACTGCTGAGTCAGATCAAAAGTTAGTATTTAGACTGTGTTTTAGCTTTGTCAACCTCTACTTTTGAATACATAGCAGTATTATGTTTCACCTGCTTTCTCCCTTCTCAGCTATGAACTTCTATCAAAGGTCCTTCTCTAGATAGTAGTACTCTCTTAACAAACATTTTCAGCCTTTTTACTTTTATTTTTAGACAGAGTCTTTCAAGGTTTTCCAGGTTGGCCTCAAACTTGCAATCCTTCTGCTCAGCCCCCTGGGTAGCTGGGATTACAGACATGTACCACCATGAATAGCTAGAGATATTGTTTGTTTGTTTGTTTGTTTGTTTTATAAAAACAAGGCTTGTCTAGTTTAGAAAATCTGGCCACAGCAGCAACAGAAAAAAGTCACTCAATTTTAGGAGTTACCTAAAATTAAGGGAAGAGTTTTGGGAAGCAACAGTCATTATGAGTAGATATAACAGATAATTAAGACATAGTATCCCTAATATTCTAATCCTACTCTTGGTATCAGTCTATGATGAAATTAAGTTTCTTAGCATCAAGAAAACCCAAATCTTACTCTAGACCAGTTACATTTCTCTCTGAGATCACCAAGCCTCTTATGTACACAGATAGCAAACCCCACTGTGGAACCCTAGGGAGCCAGACTACACTATGGGAAGCCCTTTTGCCCAGGTCTAAGCAAAAGGGCAGAACAAAGCAAAGACAAAGAAAACAGATTAATAATTTCAAAATAAATTTCCTTGTAAAGGTTAAGGGTAAAACTGGCCTGTTTTGGCTATTACCTCTATGTCTCCCCTGATTTCTTAGAAGGTGCGAAAAAACAGTTGGGGCTTGATGGTGCAAAACTTCAGCATGAATAAATCTACTTTGGGTAACTAGGCCTAATGTAGACATTCAGTCCAAACTAATGGTTTCCTATAAATTGTATTTAACACATGGAACATAATTTCTATTTACTGAAAGAATATTTTTAAACTTTAGTTCTCAATTAGGTCCAGTAAAAGGGAATGTTAGGCAGATCTGTAATCCCAGCTTTTGAGGCAAGTGAAACTAAGGGAAATACCACTGAAAGATGCTACCCGTTAGTCAGCTTTCTGTTACTATGACAAAATGCCTAGAATAATAAACTGGAGGAACAGTTTATATTGGCTTATAGTTTCAGGAATTTCAGCCAATGGTCACTTGGCCCTGCAGTCTTTGGCCTGTGACGAGGCAGTGTGTCACATAGGAGTATGTGGTAGAGAATGCCTTCATCTCATGATAGTCAGAAGGCAGCAAGAAAGGGACCAGGGTTCCAACATCTGGGCAAGGGTATACCCCCAAACTCCCTTTGCTCCATGGGTAGCAAAAAAAAGGATATATCCCCAATGATCTGATTTCCTTCTACTAAGCCCCACCTCTTAAAGCCTTCTTCATTTTCCAGTAGTGTCACAGGATGGTGATCTAGTTCTTGATGCACAAATCTTTGGGGGCCACTCAAGATCTAAACTAGAGCAGATACTAAAAGGCACAGGTAAGGGAAGCAAAGTGGAAGCTCCGTAGGTTCATTATGAGACATAAGCTATTTTGATTTAACATGAGTTACCAAAAACAAAAGCATTCCATTTGTAAAGTAGTACACACTTTGGAAATGAATATTAGCTTGATTATCTTTTTTGTACTAAAGAATGGTTTTTTTAATGCTTATTTTTAAGGTTTTTTTTTTTTTTTTTTTTTTAATTTGAGAACTTGTTTTCCCATGTGGTATTTTTTTGTTTTTGTTTTTTGGTGCTGGGGATCAAACTCACACCTCGTGCTTGCAAGGCAGGCACTTATGCCACTGAGCTAAATCCCCAGCCCCCTAGAAATTTCTTTTAAAGTTATTGGTAAGCTTCTTGTCTCTCTTTCACATTCAGCCCTATTAGTAGGGCTGGGGATTTGGCTCAGTGGCGTAGCATCTGTCCTGCAAGCACAAGGTCATGAGTTTGATTCCCATTACCAAAACAAAACAAAACAAAAATCATGTCCAGAATCTATTAGTTGGCTTTATCTCTTGTGAAACTGACTCCTTTACTGTATAGTATCTACAAGTCTTAGTATTTTTAAACTATATTTCAGGGTAATCATTTAGCTAAGAGAAGGAAATTTTTTACTTTAGAAGTAGTCCAACTAAAAAGTTGACAGAGAAATGACAGGCAATATAGTAGCATTTCACAATTGCTTTTTTTTTTTTAAACTTAACATTTATTTATTTATTTATTTGTCTTTTTCTTTTTTATTGGTACCAGGGATCAAACTCACGACTGCACACTTGCAAGGGAGGCGCTTATGCCGCTGAGCTAAATCCCCAGGCCCCACATTTCACAATTTCTAACGAGTGAATGTATCTTTGCAAAGTTCATTAATGGCACATCATACAAATGACAGATTATGATAAACTTTTCATAACTATAAAATGGTACTAGGTTACCTCTCCATAAACCAAATGATGGCAATTGAGTCTAAATCTACCTACCAACTTATAGGCAGCAGAGTCACACTAGCATATTGAATGACTCCATGAATGTGATGAAGAAAATCCACACTAAGAACAATTTTATAGAATAAAAGATTATTTTCTTCAAAGATAAAAAAAAAGAAAGAAATGAGAAGAAACTTATAGATAAAAAGAAACTGGGAGTGTTATAGAGACCTATAATCTCAGCTATTTGGGAGACTGAGGCAAGAGAATTGCAAATTCAAAGCCAGTCTGGACAACTTAGCAAGACTGTTTCAAAATTTTAAAAATAAAATATAAAGGGCCTGGGATGTAGCTTAGTGTTACCAGAGTTCAGTCCTCTGTGCCATTAAACAATCAAACAAATTTAATGGAACAACCACAAACTGAATACAGAGACTTTATTGAAACCTAATGCAAATAAATTTTTAAAATAATTTTGAGGCAACTGGGGAAATGTGAATGCTTAAAATTGGGCATCAGCTGATAATTGTTGAAGTAGGGTTGTGAATACATGAAAAATTATTATATTGTATACATTATTATATTATGTTTTTGTTTTTGTTAGTTTTAAATTTTTTCTCTATTTTTAGATGATTAAAATTGTCTTTAACATAAATGGTTTGTGTGTGGGAGAGCATGTTTTTGTGTATTTGTTTTGTTTTGTTTGCAGTACTAGGGATTGAACCCAATTTTTTGCAGTGAGCTATATCCCCTAACCCTTTAAAAATTTTTTATTTGGAGAGAGAGTCTTGCTAACTTGCTAAGTTGCCCAGATGGGATTTAAATTCGCCGTCATCTTGCCTCAGCCTCCCACAGTGCTGGGATTGCAAATGTGTACCACTATGCTCAGCTCAAAAGTTTTAAAACTATTTCAAAATTGATTTTGAGGCTTTCTCTAATAAAATGAGGTATAAGAAATATATATTTGATCTTTATCCTTGATTCCTAGCCCAGAGTTATTGTTACGCTTTGGATCTTCAAATATCCCCAAAAGCCATGTGTTGCAGGCTTGGTCACAGCTGATGGTGCTGTTGGGAGACAGTAGAGCCATTAGGAAGCAGAGCATAGCAGAAGTAAGTTAGGTTATCAGGGCTTGCCTGAAGGGGTTGTTGGGACCTTGGCCTGATTTTTTGTATCTCTATTTTGTCAATGCCATGAGATGAGTAGCTTTGCTCTGCTAGACGCTTTCTGCCATATTCTTCCTTGCCACAGGTCTAAAATAACACAGTTAGCCAACCACATAATTCCGCCAAAATTATGTGTCAAAATAAGCTTTTCCTCCTTATTTCATCATAGTACGGAAAGCTAACAGAAAACTGCTACACTAAGAAGTGATGTCACTGCTGTGACTATACCTAGTACGATAATTCAGAAGCCCTTGAATTGGTTTGAGGGGAGAATATGGAAAAGCTTATAGAGGCAACCTGGAGAAAATTTAAAACTGTTGTCAACTGATGTTAACGGGCAATTCTGGTGGAGCTCTGAAGACCAGAATGTAAAAAGAAATGAGGACAGTGAGGGCTACGTTCATGAAATGGTTTCAGGTGGAAATGAAGACTTGGCTGAAAATTAGAATGGAGTTAGTCATGGTACATTTTAGTAAATAACTCATTTACAGTTGTTCAATGCCCCAAGACTTTGTGGGAAATTGTGATTAAAAGTGATGGACTGTTAATCTGGTAGAAGAAAATTAAAGACTGGATAGCATTCAGGAAGCAGCATGGGTATTACTAGCTTATTTTACAATATACTATATAAAATATACTAGATACTAGATACTATATAAAATGAGAATAAGGAACAAAAATCAGAGTGGAAATATTTGAAAAACTTGCCTTTTGGCCAGAAAAGAAGTACATTTAAAGTTCCATCTAAGGCCA